TGTTCATAATTAAATTCGATTTTTCTTGATAGCAATGAGAAACTCACCTGTGTAATATATAACATTCAAAAATGGCAATATAATGTTGAAACAAATGATAATGAAAAAATAATTCTATGCTCTACATTATTTGTGAAAATTATTACTGGTGTTTTTTTTAAATGTTAACTTGTTTACCATTTAACAGTGTTATATTTTGTTGTTTCTCACACCAAACTCAAATATTATCAAGACACATTTCAATGAATCTTTACAATCTACCACTTTTTTGCTTTTGCAAGCTTTGATACCTATCCCACTTCCTCAAAATAATTACCTATTGATTGTTTATATCCCTAGGTTACATTGTTTTGTTATGGTTTGTAAATGTAATCTCCTACTATGACAAAAACTATATAATATATATATATAATTTATTTGAAATGACAATTTTTCATTGAAAAGGAATATTCTCAGATATAGTACTATCATAGATTAAAAAGGCCACATGAAAAAATTCAAACATACCTATCAAGAAATACATTGAAAATTTGCAATCCATATAATTATGATGAAACTATGAATTTTTTCAGGTGTGTTCTTAAGGGGCTGGTAGAAAATATCTATCCAAGAAGCATAGGCTGAGTCGAGGGCTGAGTTGTCCCCAAATGTATCTCACAAAATTTCAAGTCAATTCTGATAAGGAATCCAAGAAAAAAATCTAACAACTTTCATTCTTCTCAAGGTGAATGGTCCTAGGACTCCTTGCTGATAGAATGATCTTGTCTGCTTGTTTCAGTTCAATTCATCTTGCAATTAATGATAAGTCAGCTGGATATTAATTGTAGAAAATTCCATAATTAATTTTCTGGAAGAAATATGCTAATAAAATTATTGGTATCTCACATTTAGGTCACTCACTGACACAAATTGGGAAATCCTGGTTCAAAACATAGAACTCCTGTGATATTCTGGCCATATTATACTGAAAATCAAGTGATTTTAGTTATAGAAGCCTCATATTTATCACTTATATAAACTTACCTGGTTTTGATCATTGGAACATTGGATCATCTTCATTACAAAGGTTAAGCAGGTTTCCACTTGAATTTTGATTCTAGTCCAACAAGCATTCATATATTTATATCCTTTATTCATCATTACTTCTGGTGTATTATGGAATAGTGAATGGGTACAGTAAAATTGTACGAATTCAATCATTTTGACCATTTATTGACCATCCATCAAGGGTTCCTGTAAAGGAAGCTATGAAAAGAACACAAAAAAATCCCATTTTGGTATAACTGGTCTTTTAGGGAAATGGAAGCAAATTTGAAAGATAGGATATTTCCGAAATGAATGGACCAAAATGGTATTTGTTCGATTTATGATTTATGTCATTGTATATAAATAAATCCTTAAGAAAATAAAGTGATTGGTAATTAAAATTAATCATTTGTATTCCGCTCACCTGCACGCCAGTGTTCAGCCAATTACCCAATAAAATTTAAACTACAAAATTAATGAATTTTAGATCTTTCGACGAATACAAATATACGTAAATAGTGAGGTTATGTTATAAACATCCATGCATCCATCCATCAGCAGAATGATATATGGATGCATCAGCAGTTAGCACACGTGGTGACGTCAGAGACAAACGACGAGCGGGATGATAAATTCAGCGGATTGAGCCATCCTCTAGTAAAATAAAATAAGTCAAACATCCTTGCTTGTGGGAGTGTATGGCCGATTGAAATATCTCCATCGAATTATTCGATCATCTCTGTATGGATTTGGAGAATTTCAACATTATATGATTCATTACGTATCGGACCAATATTGGATGTTTGTATTTTGAATGAAATCATATTTTCTGCTCTGCAGGATATAAAGCCAAAGTAAGTTTTTTTTTTGAGGTTAATATTTTCAGACTTGTAAGTTTCTTTTTATAACTTCAGAGCTCCTGTCTTGTCTATCCAACAAGTACCATTGTGGAAATAACTGACACAGACAATTCACAACATCGGGATTGTTAAAATAACCCTCAGCTACACAAGAGGTTAGTATTATCTTTGTCAGTCAGCATGATCATTATGCAATCAATTGAAGTGAACTCAGACTAGTATTGTTTATTTTTAGGGTCCTACTCCTAGTCCTAGTCTTAATTCTAGTCCTACTCCTAGTTCTTGCCCTAGGCATAGGCTTCATCCCACTATTAGGACTCTAGTACTACTGTTCATCCTAGTCCCTGGTCATTGTATGTCTGGACCATAGACTTGTGCTGGTATCTATCATATACATCTACACTACTTGTCAAGAGTTTTTTTTCTACATTGGTTAACAAGAATACCTGCAGTTTTTGCTGTGTCTTCGACAACGAGCAGTCTTCCAGTTGAGGCCTGATTGCCTTGACCAGAGAGAAGAGGAATTCAATCATAAGTAACGCCATAGGAGCTCCACTGAGCATTCAGATAAGTCTGTCACACCATAAAACCTAAGGGAAGGCCCCATATACCTGTATAAATTTTACATTCAATATTAAGCTGTAAGCTATCCCCGTGACGTCACATGAATAGCCCTTCTTAGGACCTTCCCTATATTTGTATCAATTTAATATACAAAACTATATATATCTGAAATCTGAATGCTCCCTTGAATGCCACTTCACTTACATAACTATATATGGTGTTATCATATGATTTGAATAGATAGTTTCAAGGTGTATGACTATTATTTCTTCATTAATCAACCCCAGGGTACTTGTAAATTTTACCAGATATTTGTAAATTATTGACTCTACCGATAGCAGTGGTTTATCCCTTTCATCAGGGTGGTTTCTGATTTTGGCTAGCGAAAAATCAGTGGCGCACCGGAAAATTTACCCCTTCATTATATACTGTTACTCATATAATTCAAAAATATATGAACCGTACCCACACCCTAACTGAGCAGCTGGGAGGGTTAGTGGCAAGTACTTTATCTTTTGCATGAACCCTGCTTATCAAAACCTTGCCCCTAACAAATGAAATAAACCTATGACGTCAAAACATTATGTACTTTCAGTAAACAGAAATATAACCTATTTCCAACAAAATAGAAACAAACAAAACAAACATTCTCATATAAATATAAACATATTCCCACTTCACAATTTAAAAATACTTACAAATATCACAAAATATAGTTACATTCATACGATTTGAGTCTATGAAAAACAGGAACGAATATTAAAAGTGAACAACAAAAATACAAAACATTTAAAAAAACAAACGTAAGAAACAAACTGTTATAACAGAGGTATATAAAAAATTTAATTTGATCTTAATCAGATAAAGTATTGTCTTTTTTTTGGTTTATTCATATCATTAGTACCTTTATGTGAATTTATAACCTATTTTGTAAAATCAATTCATACAGAGCGTGCCGAAATATCATGCAATGTATAAGTGTATGTGATTTACTGAAGATTAATAATGATATAGGTAATTATAATAATAAGTGTAAAATTATTTTTCAGTAGGTTATGAAATGTTTCAGTAGATCTATATGCAAATCAGGAGATCTACTGAAAATTCAGTAGAACAGGCAACCCTGCAGCGGACGAAAAGTACTTGCCTTCAGAAATAGTCGGTTTTTCGTTCGGAAATTAGAACGTGATTTTTTGTAGAGGTCAACGAAAAAAAAATTTTTTGATCGGAATCAGAACATAAACTATGAATTGATCAAATTACTCAATTATGTTTAAAAATCAGACTCAACTGAAAGCCCAGACTAGGAATATTTTGTCAGGAACATACTTTTTCAATATAGCTAGTTGTATAGTTTGGTGGTTTGAATTTAGTATTAACCTATTGATTGGTCAATTATGAACATTTATTGAAAGTAGCTCGTGTCCTCACTAATTGGTGAATACGTCCGGCATATGAATTGAATATTGGTTTCAATCTTCTCTTGAAGATGTTAACATATTTAATTTAGCGAAATACGTGTCTAGAAATCGAAAAATTGGTTTGGTTAGTGGTAAAACAGTGCAGTTTGATTCTTTTTATTAACAATTGGACTAATTAATGACGCAAAAATCTTATGATCTTTTTTTGCAATGAAGAACTTTTTTAAATGGTTGTTAAACGTACTTCTGTTAGCTCATGAAGTCACAACAATGACGTTAGAACAAAATTTCCGAATTATATTCTTATTTGATATTTGATTTTACAAGCGGTGTCGTATTTATCTTGTGCTTCAACATTACAAATGTCACAACCCTTAATGAAACCATTTTATATTCAAGAAAATATATGTTGCCATTGTTCAACGGCCCGGACTTCTTTGCCTCTTGATACTGTACATAAAATAATTTACCCTAATATGGAACATAGACTTTGACTTGTTTTTTACCAGTTCTGAAAAATCAACCTTGCGAGTAATTCATAACCTGATGTTTGGCCTGGATAGCCATACAATTGCAGGATTTTTTGACATTGCTCCGCATGGCAGCACGTTTATGGTTGGGCACCACCCGGTTGACAAGGAATGCATGTAAATCAGAAATGAGGTTACGATGTTCCTGTATTCTTTGCTTATTTGAGACGTTCTCCAGAAGCACCTTCATGCATAAGGACTATTGATGAAATTTCGTAAACAACTTTCGTTACTGCCAATAAATAAAAAAGATTAATAGCTCACATGATCTGCAACCTCACTAGTGCCATTGCTTTGAGCTTTAAAAATTACCTGTCATTATATTAACCCTGCATCCAAAGCATGTACAGAATGTTTCTATTGACGTATTTCGAGTTTATCAAATTACGTTGCGATGAAATTTAGCAATAGGGAAAACATGTCAACTTTCAATCTATCATGATCATGACCTTGAAATCCGCCAATTATGAGTGTGGTAGCTGAGAATCGATATTTGACAATCGTAACATTAGTTAGGTGGATGTTTCTAGGGTTAGCATCGTGATTATATCAAGTTCAATATTCTTTCTCCATAAAAATGTAACTTTTTGTTTCCTCAGTTGATGAAGAAAGTGACACCATCACACAGAGATCTTCTTCAAGAAGTTCACGGATTATCGGTAAGTTTTATAATGTCATTCGAAACAACTCTCTCCATTAGCTACGCGAATATTAATGACAGCACAGTGATTCTCCCTTGGACTCTCCTGATGGAAAATACACTGAAATGTGAACAGATAATTGATGTCAATACTGATTTTATTCTCACTTCCACACTTTTTTCTATCATCGCGGAAGATATGTGGTGACACCGCTTATATACGACCAGTTCAGATTGAAAGCATTAAAAACATCAACAATTTCTTCAAAATTATTTTCTCCACTTGAAGTAGCTACTTTCCATGGGTATTTTGATCTTTTGTTTGCTGCTAGAATGAAAATTATTTACGAACGAGCGAATCCCTCCCTAATTGCAAGACGAAAATGTGAATCGGTTTTTTATTTCAATTTCAGACATGCTTCACCCAATTTCATTGAAATTCGATATCGTTATTTATGGGGCTTATTTACAGACCGTTGGCCCATAACACTAGGGGTGTCGATTATCTACGAAGGTATGCCCTTCAAGAGACATGAAGATTGAGTTGGATTATCGGGAAAAAAGTGGTTAGTTGGATCGGTACCCGGTCGCCCATCTCCCTAATCAATCAACTTCCTGTTGAAAGTAATGTTGAAAATTGTTTTATAGAAGAAGCTTTAAAATTCATTGGAATAGTCGCATCTCGCCAAATTAACCGGGCGCTAGCCGATTTGCATACGTCTAGGTCGGTCCCGAAGGGCGGCATACGGACCGCAAGTTACCATTAACCGACATTTCTCTCAGATTATTTACGATGGTATGCCCTATGGTTAATTCCTTCATTTCGACCCATGAATCAATGCCATAACATTTGCATACAGTTTGGGTGGGCGAATTTAGACTTAATCGAAGGTCACTTTACATCATTGACCTGTATGTACAAGATTATCTACGAAGCACCCAAATTTTGATCAAGGTTAGTTAAGCATAAACTATGCATGGAATAATGATTTGCATACGATTTGCGAGTTGCGGGGATTACATTTAGCCCAGTAAAATTAGCAAAAATGGCGGCAAAATTCGTTCAACACCCTGTAAGAGCTCAAGATATCGACAATCAAATTCTTTCTAACTTTAGAACTTACACAAAACTCGTCCCGATTTACCCGTTTCGAGTTATTCGAGGTCGAAGTTTCGAAAAATCAGTTTTTGGTTCAAAAACCACTAAGAAACTAATTATTATGCCTGTACGACGCGTCTGAACTGCCATCCTAAAAAAACTTTTTTTTCACGGATATTTGCCTAATTTACTGTTGATCTCCTAATTCACAGTTGCAACTGTAAATTAGGAAGGAGAATCTTTTTTTTTTTTTCAAAACATCTCCTAATTCACAGTTGCAACTGTGAATTAGGGGATGTATAATATTGTTACGTTAACATGGGATCCAAGATTGATCCTTTAGGAACTCCCATTGTAACTCCAAGAGGATCAGATTCATAGAATCCAACAAGACTATCTGCCGGTTCTGCAAATGAGATGCGCCCCCTGACATCCCCCCTAGAGTCATCCCCGGTCCCCGGCACTAGTAGTAGGTGCCAGATTCGAGCTTAGTGACCCCGAAACCTCCCTGAGAGCCCTTGGCACTCGATCATCCTGGAATTTCCAGTTTCAACTTTTTAATATTAGAAAAACTGAAAAAAATAGACTCCCTATAGCAAAATCGACGTATGCTCACAATACATTCGTATGCAAATGCTATTTTCTTATTCAGTATAACTGAATCTATCACCTGATTGAATGGCATACAAAATTATATAATCTTGAAATATATAATCGGTGATGTAAAGTACTTACAACAGGATGAAAAAGGTAGGGTCGAATTTGAAATGCAATAGTAATATATGGGTTGTATGCTCAGAACTCATAATCTTTATCTCCTACGACTAGAATGCGTATCTAATATAGCGGACGAACAAATCATACATCAGCTGCAATGATGTCAGTGAAACATAAACAGTAGCTGCGTGTAAATTCGTGGTGAAATGTATATAGACACCAGTGGCGTATCTCGAAGATAAGATGAAATTGGATTATATATATAAATAAATATATGTATGCTGCTCATTTTTTTCATTCTACATGTTCGATCTCAGAAAACAACCAACTGCATAAATATAGAATATATTTACAAAAGGAAATTTTCCATATTATTATTTTTGCATACTTAATAACATATCCAATTGCGATAGTTCATGGTTTTAATAAGTATCTCATTCCACTGTAGGAATCAAATCACAGAGAACATATTTCAAAATACTTTTCCCAGTTAAAAAAGAGATTGAAAAGATATGAAGGTACCACAAATCAATCATAGAGAACATACAATTATAGCCAAATCGAATGGCATTTTCCTAAGACTGCTCTCATTTGAACTTCTCGAAGATCTTTTAGAATCGATTCCTCATGGATCAAAAACATACAATCCATCATTTGCTGACAATGTCATGACATCTTCTGGAAATTCTGGGACATTGTTTTCAACAGCTTCAACTGAAAGCAGGAATCAAGATATAATGTCGGTTTTGAGTTAGGCATCAAATCTCACCTTGAATTTATTCAGAAGAAAACCATCCTCTGTAAAATGAATTGAACTAATTTTCAGTTGATGGCCATATCAAGTGACTGTATCCCAAGATCATTTTTTGAGATTAGATTCAAGAAACCTCGAGTAAATCTTATGTGATAGCAGCGTGCAGATTTAGGCAACAGGAGAATTTTGGATAGGTAGGTACTTTTTCATGCGCTTTCATGTTCAAGTAAGTAAGTAAGTAGGTAAGTAAGTAAGTAGTTTATTATCCTTTTGACATTTTACATGTATAGGAAATAGTCAACAAGGAGTTATGCTGTCTTAAACGAATCACTTCATCACAATAATCAACTATAATATTAATATTACCAAAGATCTAACAATGATATTTTTGACTTTTCTGTAATAAAGTTGATGACAAGTAGTCACAAGTGGCAGCTAATGAAACTGGCAACATTACGTTTTTTGTGAACAAACTGATGAAAATGCATGACCTATGTCTTAGGAGTAGCTCTCCTCATCTGTATTACCATGCATCCACGTGTGAGTTTAGCATGATCTCACCCATATTTCAAGGCCCATGTTTTGTTCAGGAATTTGGTATGAAACCATAGGATCGATCGCACGTTCTATTCGTGAGATATAAAGATTATGAGTTCTGTGACTTCATATTTATTTTTCAATCCAACATTGTAGATGATTGCGATAATGAAAATCTGTCCAAAGATGGGGTTAATGGATTGTTTATTTATTTATTTATTTAATGTTACACCGTTCTACAGGTTAAACCCAACTACAGAACAGGGAAATAAGTATAACTAATAATACAGTTTTTCATATTCTGAAAAGTATATAAATATAGGCAAGACCTTAGCTGAAATAAAAAGATTTAATCGCAGAGATAGAGCAATGAAAGATATCTGGCTGATTATTTGATGAATTATTGTATATAGAACACATGTTATGGAGAGGAGAATATTTCAGAATATTTGTTCGTGGTGTCGTAAGATAGAATGTATTGAAAACTCTAGAAGTTTGTCTAGGCACAGTGAAACAGCTTCTGCAAAATGTGTGAGTCAGTGATAATGTTATTCACCACTTTGAAAAGGAACACTGTGGATTGGTAGGTAATAAGTTGCGATTGGGACGTTGCTTTCAGAAGATTTTTCATGAAATTCGCTTATTGTGATGAGTATTAGTCCAATCAATGTATGACCCAAAGGTGAGTGTAGAATGCGTGACCTAAGCGATTTCTTCAGAAACTTGTTCGAGGTGTTCAGAGAGTCGCTCCTAGAGTCTTGACTTCTAGGAGCTGAGCCCGGAGCAGGTGGTGTAGTGAGAAGGTTCAGCTTTTGGGTTTATCGCTTATGTGTCGTAAACGGTTCGTCGTAGAAAAAAAAATTCTAATAAAAAATTTAAGCTGATAAAATTCTTTTCATACCCTTCTTCGAATATTCAACCGTTCTTTAACAACACGCTCCGGAAAGTGACATCTGACATTTTCCATACATTTCTTCATATTGTCGGAATTATTTGTTTCAGAAAAAAAATTGCTTCAAAAAGGAAGAATTGAATTTTCTTCAAGAATATGTGTACTAGGTTATCTATAGAAGAGGCACACGTTAATTTTCACAAAAATAAAACGAGATGCGGAAGTTGAATGCCACGATAAGGCATTGTTACAAACCTTATCAGAAATTTTACAAGATGATCTCAAAAATAATGACAAACCGCGAACCAGTTCCTATTTTTTTTTTTTCGAATTCTGTAGATATGGACCTCACTGTTCTTTTAATTGTTCATACTCTTACGACTCGAAACATCCTGCTTCTGAAACCCGGACGAGGAAGAACCAAAACAATGACATTGTCCAAATAAGAGATGCAGCAACAGGGATTTGAACACATCCTGTTCTTACATTTATTAACCGGCTGCAACACAACATCTGCAACGTTTAAGAGGAGTAATTTTGGAGGAGGTGGAATTTTGAAAATTGTACTTGAAATCTGAAATCATTAAGGAAACTGCAAAGATCTTTAACAACCACACCTTCACTCACAGCGAGGTTGAAGGGGCTGGGAAGATGTGCTTCCTCAAATGATGTGAGGCACCAGCAAGACATACCTCCCTCAAGCAGCCAGGTAAGTGGCGAATGATAAACCTGACATCAGCTTTCACCCACCAACTGAAAGCGCAGGTAAACAGCATTTTTGACGCACCTACCACCATGTTCAGCAGTGACTCGGGAATGAGCTGCTACCTCACTCGTGAGGTTGAAAACATGTAGGAGACACCCTGATGCTAATTACAACAGAAGATCCACCAGCACCAGAAGATATTTCTCTACTGCGCCAAGGATTTTGATGGTGGCAAATGTGAATGTCAGAAATCAATGCTGAACTGTTCTGCGACGTGCTTCTACTGATGAGGACGACGACGAAGATGAGGATGACGTAGAGTTCCTTCAGCAAGAGCTATCCAACACTTGAGGATGGGGATGCCATGTACGAAGAACCCTTACCAGGACCCTTACGGCCAAAATGGATGGAGATGTGAATCCAGAGAAAGTGGAGAGTTTGAAATTATTAAGACTCATTTTTACTTGAGAGTGTGCGAACAATGAAAATTAAATGACGTAGCATATTAGTCAAATCAAATGGCATTTGCACGTGAAAAAAAATCAAATAGTCGGTTTCTCTGCGGTTTCATATGTTTTTGGGGGTGCTGAATCTGAATGTGAAGTTTGCAAACAAAATTTCCTGGAGCGTTCCGAGATATTCGCGAAAAACAGCGAAATTTTCGCACTTTTTTCAGTTATTCGGTTGTAACTCGGAAACTATACATTATAATGAAAAAAACACGGTATAAATATTTGAAGTAGATACAATTCTCTATATATAATTGTTTTTGCTCATGATTGAAGGACTAACGGGTAAGGAGCTAGAGCAAGTTGAAAATAGGCCAAATATAATAATAAGGTTTTTCACACCTGTTCCTTGTTATCCGTTAGCGTAGAAAAAATGAACAAGTTTCTCTCATATACCACCACGTAGAGTATGAGAGTACCCTGGAGCGAACACGATATGCTCTACCATGCTGCACCACCCCTAGATTCAGCCGTCACTGAATCACTTTATGAAATAATTTTCATTTCATCTTATAGAGCGTAAAAAGTTTATATTCATATCAAACTGTTTCGAACTTGAAAAAAACAATATTCAGACTCGTATTTTCAACACCCTATATCTCGAAAACGACGCGTTTAAAAGTATGTTTTAATGACCACCCTGTTAAGGTTGTTTATTTTTCAATCCAACATTGCATGCGATAAAGAAAATCTATCCAACGATGGGATTAATGGATTGCTGTGCGATATTGACACTGAAGATGAAGTGTCTAAGCAAAATAATCCAGGTAGGTAACAAGGTGCGATGGGGACGTTGCTTTCAGAACATTTTTCATGAAATTAGCTTCTTGTGATGAGTATGTGCTGCCGGAAATGACCACTGACATTATCAATCACCCTTTTGAGATATAGGAATTTATTCAAAATTGTTGTGTTGAGAAGGCCATCATTTGATAGAAATGATGAGAACTTCACAAACTATAACACTACTTGTAGCTTCTTTAAGTGAATTTATTATAATAGTGTTTCACTTGAACGAGCTATTGTGTTAGCGAAATCTGTGTTCTAATGTTATTAAGACTTTTGTGGAAATCTTATCGTTTGAGAAGTTTTAAGGCGTCAAGATTTTCTGTTGTGATGACATATTGATACATACATATTTTGTTCATGGCTAACTTTCACTCATCACGGACGTTTTTGGGAACGAATTTATAACACAAATGAAAAAAAAAACTAGATTAATCTTTCCTTTTACGAACACTTCTCAATGACAAAAGTTTTCAAATAATTGTGTGAGTTACAGGGTGTTTTAATTAATCTTGAATTTACCATTTTTATATTTTGTTTCTTGGAGTGAAGGAATACATGTCATCATCTCTGTTCAGAAAAATGGAAGCGGATTCTTTCATTTTTCTTTTTTAACTAAGGGTAAAATTTTCATCTTATAGGTTCCTAATACTGAAATTTCAAACGTAGTGACCTTTCGGGAGAAATCTTCTGATTTGTCCTCACAACAGGTACATTGAAATAATACCAACATTTTTAATTATAGAGACAGACAGAAAATCTAGAAAAACGAATATTCCACCTCCTCGCTTAACGTGCAGAAAGCATTCATCGTATGTTGTAGGTACTTTTCACATTTAGAACAGTGCATCATAATGCTTACTCCAAATTTATGTGTTAGTTCATACAGGTGGCCGTTGAAATAGTGCCGCTTATGTTGTTTACAGGCATTGAAGCGACTGAAGGTGTTATAGTTATAGTTCGATTTCCATAAGTGGCAAAACAATTAAATATTTCAACGGTCACTACGATGCCACTATCATTTATAGAGGCCCTGTACATTGTGTGTGTATCCATCAACTTTCGTTCGATTTAGATTTCAAATTGATGCAAAATGAAAACAACTAACGTGTCTTCATCATACTGATGGAGTGTGACGCTGTACATCACAAAAGATTGAACATACTGGGAACACACCAGCTGACTGTAGAAGAAATACCACAGCTAGACCCCCTCAAAATCCTCAAATTCCTGAAGGAATTGTATCTCGAGGGGCTGCTATGAACAAGAAATCCTTGATATAGCAGGAGCAGATGGGGCACAATAGATATAATTGGGTCGCAGCGCATCTGTCACCATCCAACCTACCAATACCAACGTGTCTTCAAAAATGATTGAGTGCCACGTGACTTTTTAATGCGGCGTCTCGTTTCCACCCACACCATGTTAAAGAGATACGGATGTATTCTTGGATGTATAGTAATCCATTACGTGGATCTCAAACATCGTTGGGGACGCTGTGATATTTTGTAACACTCCTTTCATGAGATTCTTCGCCGCATTCGCATTCGTTCCTTGCTATACTCATTGTAATCCAAGGGTTCAATGAGAGAGCTGCTTATAATCACAGTTATATTTCATGGATCTATTATTTATTCATGAAGGTTTAATTCCGTGACACACTGTCACACTGACAAAATAGAACTATTTTTTTGTAATACTTATCTAATCCGACAAAATCCATTTCAGATGAGTGTGATTCCAACTTATCAAATGGAAGCTCAAGACGAATAGGTAAAGTATATATCTTGTGACTAGCATCTATGGAATAATTTATGGCCCTGTCTATTCATCGGGGCGAACCGTGATATAGGTGCGTAATATATGATGTTTGTGATGAAATGGGAATTTTAGTATGGGTATCAATAATTAGTGATGTAAAATTCTCGACGAGTACGAACGAGCATGAACGAGAATAAACGAGCCTAAACGAAAAAAAGGCGAGAATGTATGTTTGGGGTGTTGTAAAGTATTCAAAAATTCACGGTTCTTCCTGAAAATGCTCAAAATCCTCGAATTGCTGAAAATGCTCGAAACTTTTCTAACGCTTCAAAAGATAAGTACCGCGTTGAATTTTGACTTTCGACGTTTATCGATATATTTATCTTAGACACAGTGTATGAATAATATTTTTTTTCGTAGTGGAAATGGAAAAATAAGCTCAAAAACTGAATTAGTTCTTTCATCATCATTCTCCTATTTTTCGCGCTTTTATGAGACTGTTTGGTGAAAAGAAAGAAGTTGATTTTTTTATAGCGACTTAGCCACTATGATTCGAAAATTGGCAACGTTATGCATAAAATATGAGGGTATCAATATTTTTAATGATACACCCGAAAATAATACATTCAATTGATGCGGAACAAAATCACCTTTTTTTAGTAAAACGTTGTGGATTTTCATAATCCGAGATAAAATTGTCGAAAAATATGCACACAAAAAAATTGAGCCATAGTCCCACCCTGTATTATACACTCCTGAATGCAACTTTGGAATGATTTTATGTTCACCGCATTGAGCATGGAAAGTTTAGTTCTTGTACCAAATGGCATCATTTTTTCACGTGGCGTTTCGAAAATATTCAGGAAATATCATCTTCAGGGGCCCCATTTCAGGGAGCCGTAGCTCCCTTAGGAGACATTTCTCGACTCACGTTGATTAGAACTTGTCTTCCTATTTTTGGTCGTAAGAGCCGCTGGTGAAGTTTGGCAGGCTAATTTCGGGACACCCTGTATACAGTCTGTCCAAGATAAGGTTGGTCAGCATGGAGATTTTGGAAACGGTAGAAGATACGAAGTCGGTAAAATGGGGAAAAAGTTGCGCATTCGGACGCTCATACCAACAGCCTTCGAAAATTCTCAAAATTGTTTTTTGTTTTTCAGTTACATCGAAAAAAGATAAATAAATTATACTGCAGTACAAAACATGGAGAAAAAATTGTATTGATAAAGAAATTATACCAGTAAAAAACATGGAGAAATCATTGTATTCGTATTTTTCCAAAGGAGGTTGTCATAATTAGATTTTTCGACTAATTATCCCTATAAGTCTATCAGTTGGAACCAGTTGATAAGGTGTTGACTGATTTTCCTTCAAAATGAGTGGAACTGATGGCATTTTTCCTTTGGAATTTCGAAAAAACATTGATGTTAGCTAAAAATAGGTCGAGACACATTCAAACCACCTTGAATAATACATGGTTGAATTCAGAATAACAAAAGCTTTCAGAATCTGTAAAAAAATTATCAGGACCATATTTAAAAAACAAAGTAGTAGTAGTAGTAGGTGGGGAGGCTGTAGCCAACCCCTGCTCTCCACATATCTACGCTTCCTTCACCTAGATTTCCTTTACGAATCTCCTTGACCTTCTGATGAAGGCCAGTATGTCCGTCCACTCTAATATAATCAAGTCCTCCTGTTGGAGTTTGTCTACTCCAAATATTTCAAATCTCAGCCTTCCGTATGCCTCGCACTCGCTGAGAAAATGGAGTGGTTTCCTCGTCTTCCCCGCATCTGCGGCAAGTGGGGTTGTCCTCTGTTCCCATAAGTGATAGATGTCTGCCTAGCCTGTTGTGTCCTGTGAGTACTCCTATGAGAAGGCGGAGTACTTGGCGGTCTCTGCCAAGCAGCCACTCCTTCCTTGATTTGCTTGGACCGGCCTGCCTGCAAACTGTGATATTCCTCCAGTATTCTCTTAGTGCCTTGTCCGCCCATTCATCGAGGGCTGACGTGATTTTGATCCTTGCTATACCTAGTACAGGATCCGGCCCTAGCAAGTTCGTCTGCTGTTCCGTTTCCAGGCACCCCACTGTGACCCGGGACCCATACCAGTTCAACTTCCTTTGATTCGGCTAATATTTCAAGGGCATTTCCACATTCATGTACCAATGCTGAGCTTGGTCTGTGATGACAGATAGCCTTGAGTGCTGCCTGACTATCCGAACAGATGTAGATCAAACAAAAGTTGATGATGGTTCTACGAATACGAAACGTCGCATAAAAAAATCGGTATCACCACGTTAAACTTCATTAAAAGTTGCTGCAAAAAGTGTTTTCTGTTTTTCTTTATCTCTAATGATAACAGAGAAAAAAAATGAAATAGATATTCCAAAAATGCACTTTTTTCGATATAACTGAGAAACTAAAAACAATTTTGAAAATTTTCGAAGGCTGTTGATATGAGCCTCCGAATGCGCAACTTTTTTCCCATTTAACCGACTTCGTATCTCCTACTGTTTTCGAGATCCCCATGCTGTGCAACCGTATATCATAGACAGACTGTATACCGGGTGATACAGAATCATGGTATACCCTCCTTTCTTCCTTTGTTTTTTAGCTATATTTCTGAAATTCGAAACATCGAATACGCTCACTACAGGGCACTTTCTCACATTTCGGAATTGAAAAAAGTTGGCATCCGCAAGGACTGAACTCCTGGCCGCAGGTGTAGCAGGCCTTGGGTCATAATTGGTTGATAATTCACGTGATTACGTCCATATATGTCGGAGCGCCCTGAAAGATTCTATTCGTCGGGACGAAATATGAGCATGCGTGCATCACGCCCCTATATGTCGGAGTGCCCTGATGTTTAGACAAAGATTCGATTCGTCGGGGCGGAATATACGCATGCGTGCAATACGCCTCTACAGTGTCATTCATAAAGTCGGCATCATATGGGAAAAACTTTTATTAATGACTTATTTTGAAATTCGAGTTGGACGTTAAGTTTTGCTTAACAGAAGATGAGAAATGGCCTACTCAATCGGGGTCACGTGACTTTCGCTACATGTCAAAAGTGACATTTTTTCAAATTAATCGCTGAAAGTAGGCTTATTTGTTCGAATATCGAAAAAGTTTACTTGAAAAAGTTGTTTCTATTTGAATTTCACAAATGTGACTCGGATTTTATCTTTCTATTACATTTTTTAGATTTCGATATTTTTTAAAAAAATTCAAAATTTCTGTAATATTGGAAAAATTGTGAATTCGATAAAACTACATCATACCAGTGGCTTCATCATGCTACTAACTTCAATTACTAATTATCACTAATTATCGACAAAAATATGATTCTCTTTAGAAAATGATAATCTCCGCTTCAAAATTCTGTTATGTTTGATGCAAACATAACATCAAAATTCTGTTATGTTTGAGTCAAGCATTTAGAAACTAAATTCATTTAAATTTATTTTTTCAGTACTGGAAAGGTCAGTTTAAATGAATTTCGTTTCTAAATGCTTGACGATATATCAACTTTGCATCAAACATAACAGAATTTGGAAGCGGGTATTATCATTTTCTGAAGAAAATCATATTTCTGTCCATAATAAGTGATAATAAGTAATTGAAAGTAAGTAGCATGCAAAAGCTACTGGTATGAAGTAGTTTCGTGGAATCAACAATTCTTCAAATAAATTTCGAAAAATTAAAAAAAAATCAAAATCTAAAAGTTGCAATAGAGAGATCAAATTTCGAGAAGCATGTGCAAAATTGAAATAGAAACAACTTTTTCAAGTAAACTTTTTCGATATTCGAACAAATAAGCCTACTTTCAGCGATTAATTTGAAAAAATGTCACTTTTGACATGTAGCGAAAGTCACGTGACCCCGATTGAGTAGGTCATTTTTCATCTTTTTTAAAGCAAAATTCAACGTCCAACTCGAATTCCAAAATAAGTCATTAATAAAAGTTTTTCCCATATGATGCCGACTTTATGAATGACACTGTATATGTCCGAGCGACCTGATGTTGAAACAAAGATTCGATTTGTCGGGGCGGAATATGAGCATGCGTGCAATACGCCTCTATATGTCGGAGCGACCTGATGTTTAGACAAAGATTCGATTTGTCGGGACGGAATATGAGCAAGCGTGCATCACGCCCCTATATGTCGAAGTGCCCTGATGTATAGACAAAGATTCGATTCGTCGGGGCGGAATATGAGCATGCGTGCATAACGCCCCAATATGTTGGAGCGCACTGATGTTTAGCCAAAGAGTTGATTCCTCTGGGCGTAATATGAGCATGCGTGCATTATGCCCCCATATGTCGGAGTGCCCTGATGTTTAGACAAAGATTCGATTCGTCGGGACGGAATATGAGCATGCGTGCATCACGCCCCTATATGTCGGAGCGCGCTGTTGTTGAAACAAAGATTCGATTAGTCGGGGCAGAATATGAGTGTGCGTGCATCACTACCCTATATGTCGAAGCTCCACGATGAATAGACACGGCCATAATTTATCACCACTTTTCCCCTGTATTAATTTTTCATACCATTGTAGATGATTTCGATGATGAAAATGTATCCAACGATGAAATAGATGCTTTTATGGCAAATATGGACAATGAAAAGGAAGTGTCGAAGCAAAATGAATTGGGTACGTTGTAGGTTGCAACTATTTGCCTTGCAATGATCTTGTTTTATACTAGCTTCCCTTACCTCAAATTGTATTGCTGTACAAAACTGGCATTGAAAGCGGATTTTGTAAATGAAATAGTCCATCTGCAATCGATTTCTCTGGGTGGAAAATGAAGGAACGGTTATCAATGTATCTTTCATCTCATCATTGAAGGTGACTGTTATAATGAACATATATCCAATGATCTGGGGAATGCATTGCAGAATTGCTATTGGGGATAACATTATAATTATCTAATCTTCATTTGATATAACATGATTCATGTTATAAGAGGGTATTTATTTTGTACCAATAATCCGATCAGGAACGTCCTACAACAATGTCCAAACTGGTAAGTTGAAGAAAGAATATGGTAAAAATAGTGCTAAATTTGAATTGTAATAGTAGGTACAATGATCTAATTAAATCAGGTAGGGATTTATAGATACTGTTTTCATTATTTCATTGAACCTACCATTTATTTCATTTCAAATTTAGCCCATTTTACCGTTTTACTTTGTCGCAAGAATCACGAACCGCTAGATAGCGCTGACAAGTTTTAAAGTCAAAATCAAAAATTTCTCGTGTTTGGTTTGTTTCGAATACAGAATCTGCTAAGTTATATCCACAAAATGAGTCCAAAAACTATCGACATTTGCTGGAAATAATTATAAATCCTGTTGAAAATACTAAATTGGTTTTTTGATCACCTTCAAAGGTGTTCCGAAACATATATCACCTCTTATAAACAAGAATCATGTTGTATTAAATGTCATGAAGATTATTTTGTGATCGCTTCTTCAATTACTACCATACCACTGAGCATTATGGACATATTTTGTCTTATTTGAGTCTATGAACGTATAGTTTGTATATTTAATTTTCGATCCCATTGTAGATGATTGTGATAAAGAAAATGTATCCAACGATGGAGTTAATGGATTGATCTGCGAAATTGACACTGGAGATGAAGTATCCAAGCAAAATAATCCAGGTAGGCAACAAGTCGCAATAAGGACGTTTATTTTAGAAGATTTTGTGATAAGTAGTATATGTTCTGCCTGACGTGACTATACTCGACTATTGATATAATTAGTTACCATTTTTGGAATATATGAGAAGATGTTGGGTCGAATTTGAAATGTGATAGTAATATACCGGGTGTCAACAAGTCATAACTTCTAGACCATTAGGTGTATCAAAATTAGATTTGGTATACGTAAATGGTATGTGAAGAGGAGAGTTTTCACATATTTTTCACTTTCCGGTCACTTCTGGTTTCACCGGAAATGGCTCCGGTTCTAAATTTTTAAATGGGACCCCCTGTATATTAGGTTAGGTTAGGTTCCATGTGAGTGGGGCGAACACCTCCCCTCCACTGCGACCCCAGATGGGTCTATTGTGGCTCACCCCTAGAGGTTACAGTTCACCGTACAATCCACATCTTTTTACCTGTATACCTGTATACCCTGTATATTATAACATTTTTGGATTCTTGAGACAATTCTAGATCAGAATGTGACATTTTCGAAAGTTTTTATGCCTACTTAATTTTTTCGGAGTCACTTTTGAAATTACATCTAGGTGGCCATGATCGGAAGTAAACTAATCTAAGGACCTCAGGTGATATCAGAAAATTACAATCGCGAAGTTTTAGTAACAAGTATGATAGATATTAATAAGACAAGTTGGCAAAATTACATTTTCGTGTCTAACTATTATTTTTCAAATGGCGACCATTTTTTGACAAGCACTTTCCGAAAAAAGGATATTTTGACGAATCTAACGATACTAATTCATTTGCGATTGGATTACAAATAAGAACATAAATCAAATATTACTGACGAAAATACATCATAATAATTTATTTACTTTTGTCAAGTGTGCCGAGGATAGGCATGATGCATAATATTTTGCAGTTATTTCGATCAAGTCTTCTTGGGAGAACAAAACACTCACTTAGGTTATGACAGTGACATAAGTTTCAAGAGCAGAAGGTGAAATTTTGTCAAAAATTTTTTCGGAAAGTGCTTGTCAAAAAATGGTCGCCATTTGAAAAATAACAGTTAGACACGAAAATGTAATTTCGCCAACTTGTCTTATTCATATCTATCATACTAGTCACTAAAACTTCGCGATTGTAATTTTCTGATATCACCTGAGGTCCTTAGATAAGTTTACTTCCGATCATGGCCACCTAGATGTAATTTCAAAAGTGACTCCGAAAAAATTAAGTAGGCATAAAAACTTTCGAAAATTTCACATTCTGATCTAGAATTGTCTCAGGAATCCAAAAATGTTACAATATACAGGGTGTTCCATTTAAAAATTTAGAACCGGAGCCATTTCCGGTGGAACCAGAAGTGACCGGAAAGTGAAAAATGTGTGAAAACTCTCCTCTTCACATACCATTTACCTATACCAAAACTCATTTTGATAGACCTAATGGTCACGAAGCTATGACTTGTCTAATAGATTCGTTGACACCCGTTATAGGTTGTATATTTATTTTTCAATGCAACATTGTAGATGATTGCGATAAAGAAAATCTATCCAACGATGGGATTAATGGATTGCTGTGCGATATTGACACTGAAGATGAAGTGTCCAAGCAAAATAATCCAGGTAGGTAAAAAGTTGCTTTTTGGGATATAGAAATTTATTTTCAATCAATCAATCAACTTTATTATTCTCAAGAAACAACACTTTTTTATAGCAGGGAACATGGTGAATACATAAATATATTTGACAAAATAAAATAAAGAAGACAGTAACATAAGACTCACACTCAAAAAGAATCATTTTTTTTTTCAAGTTCAACTGAAAATGATTCTCAATTGACTCAGCTGACCCAATAGAAAACTATATTAGTTGTACAAGAAAACTATAAAAATGAGATAAGATGTCAATTTTACAAGAGTAGATGTTTCTTGAATTATTTTTTAAATTTTTCAATCCTATTAATCAGATTCAAGTTATTTGGTAGTGAATCGTATTGTATCATTCCATTGTGATAGATGGATTTATTACCAATATCTGATTTAATTTTCTTGACAGAAAAATGATCTGCTTGTCTAGTTATATGGTTGTGGTGATTACTATTAATTTGGAAAACCAAATTTGAATGCTTTTGACATTAATTTGAATTTCTATAGTGAATCTATATCTAATAATTCTCTTCTTCTGTAAAGGTTTATAGTAGGTTCCGAATAATTTAGTCTGTATATACATTTGATAATTTTATTTTATTAATGTTATTTTAATTGACCAGACCATTACTTGAAGGAAATCCATAGTAAAAGTTAAAACTTCACAAATTATCAGAATTCCACAAAATCCCCAATAACACGACATAGTATCTTCTTCAAGTGAATTTATTATACTAGTATTTCACTTGGACAAGCTACTTTCGTGGAAATCCTATCGTTTATGAAGTTGTTTAAGTTCATTTGATTGAAAACTCAAGTTTCAAGGCGTATTTTTACTTTTGAGGTCTATGAACGTAGGTTAGGTTATTTATTGATTTTTCTTTGTATTATTGTAGATGATGGCGATGGAGGAAATATATCCAAGGCTGAAGTAGATGGATTACTGTGCAAAATTGCCAATGAAAAAGATGTGTCCAAACAAAATGATCAAGGTATGTTTCAGAGTGCAATTGATTTTATTTATCTTATAGTGAAGTGGGAGCTTCCTCATAAAAATAACTTTATTTGAAGCGCTTGTGAAAAATATTAGTTTACCTTTACCATGTCACGCTTCTTCAAGATTGAGGATACACTTCTAATGTATTGAAACAGCAGAAAAAATATGAAGCATACATTGACAGGAAATAACCTCACTGAGACGTTACCCAATGACGTATAATGTTACAAAACGTGAGAGCTAATTTATTAATGCTCATACACATATTTTATATTCATAGAAATATCGATGTATAAAATGTCTTAACAAAAACTTACCACATATTCCTCAGACCAACACAATTCGATGCAAGCAAACTTACCTCAGTACAAAGTTGCTTAGTTTGAGCGCTTGATGGCTCTTAAGTTTTTCAAATTGTTTTTTCTTCATAATTTTGAAACTGCTCATGAGATTTCACTGAAATTTGCTACATCGGCATAACCTCATTTTTCAATAAAACCCATATTATGAATATACAAAATATCATTCCATTGGCGTGAAACTTGACTTTTTCAGTAAATGAACATCGAATATTTTTACGCCAATCAGACGCATTCTGCTCGGTCTCAAAACGAATAAGTCCAATGGTCCTGATGGAATTCCACCCAATATTCTTAAAAAGTGTCCACCAGAATTGACACCGATTCACTGCAAGCTTATTTACCCTCTCCTACAAGTCGGGTATTTTTCCATCTTTCTGGAAAATAGTCCAAGCAATTCCCAAAAAAGGAAACAAGAGCCTACCCAACAACTATAGGCCAATTGCCCTGTTATCGGTCATCTCCAAAGTGATGGAGAAAGCCATCAACATCGAGCTGATGAAATATCTGGAAAGCTCAGGAATCATTAATGTTAGCAATGTGGGTTTTGCCACCGAAGATCAACTGCGGGTTTACTTATCTACGTCACCCATATATTGCAAGCTTCATTAGAAAAACATGGGGATTCTCTAGCTGTAGCGCTAGATATATAGAAGGCATTCGACCGTGTTTGGCACCAAGGACTGCTTCACACACTGCCATCACCACCTCAGTTATTTCGGCGTTCCACAAGGATCAATCTTGGCACCAACATTGTTCCTACCTCATATCGACGATCTATTGGAAGCAATCACTTGCCCTTTCCACAGCTTTGAAGACAATAGTACTCTCCATACTGCGTTCTCTTCTAGAATTCCTATTACTTTCTAGGAAACTAAGAATTTACGACGAAGGCAGACCAACGCTGTCAATGAAGATCTTGCCGAAATTACAGCCTTGGGAACCAACAACCTAGTTGAATCCAACGCCACCAGAACTAATGCCTGTATTTTCTCTAGAAAGGCGGAACTCAGTATGCCTGATATAACAATGTCTGTTACCACCATTCCCACTAAGACCACTATATCTATGCTCGGTATTACCATCAGTAGTACTCTCTCATGGGAAAATCATGTCCGATCCATCGCAAAAGCTGCTTAACAAAAACTCGGATTCTTGTTTCGTGGGAAAATCTGTTTACACCTCAACAGCTCCTCATGATCTACAAAGCACAGATTCGGTCAGTTTTAGAATACTTTTTTGTGTATGGGTTTCAGCACCCAAACATACGCTGATGCTGTTAGATTCCATCCATTCCACTACCTTCCATAAATCTCCTCTTGCGTCTGGTGACTTTAGTGTACCCATTCTCTTCATTATCGACGGACATCACTAGGTTAATGATTTTCTCGAATCGTTAGGTTTGTACTTCAATGATATTAGCAGAAATTTGTTTAGCAAGGGTGTTTGACTTGCTTGGAGTTTTGGTAGGTTGTGGTAGCTCTATTGCACTGCCTCTGTGACATTTTTTATGTCTAGGTCTATTTTCAACTGTTCCACTTTTCCTTGAAGGAGTCGTTTGTTTTCATGAAGCAATTTAATATTGTCTCCCAATAATTTGAATTTGTGTTCTGTACCTTCGAGAAGTATTCTGGGATATTTTTCCATTTGTATTTCTCAACATGGATCATTGACTGTATTGACTTTATCGTCCGAGTCCTTCAAATCTACCTGGAGTGCTATTGGATTATTTTCTTCGACAAACTTTGCCACATTCAACACATTGAAGATGCATTCATCTTGCAATAACAACAGGGCTCGCGGCCATCTTCCATGAGTAACTTTTAAACGGTTGCCATAGTATCAATGATATTAGGCAACTAAATTCACTCATACTAATGCTCCTTTCGATATGTAAACGGCTGTTTTACCCTTGAAACCTCACCCCCTACCACTTCTCTTCCTTTTCCAATGGGTTGCATCCTACTATTTTTTTTCACTTGACCGTTTTCAAAGGTTTCAGCACTGATCTAAAAGGCCCTTCATCCAGAATATCGAGTAAATGATTGATTCAATTCTAGATAAATTTCATCATTTCAAAACTTGATGTTAACATGTGGGCAGGTATATTATTCATAGTGTTGTTCGTCCCTACAATTCAAATGGTGAAAAAATTCGTCAGAATTCTCCGTAAATAATTCACCAGATATTATGACTGGGGTGCCTTTAGATGTAAGAGGACAGATTATATAAGTACCAAAAAGACGGATGTCCTGCCCGTTAACAAATAACTGTAAGATATTGTCTAAATAATCAATTTCCTGAAATATGGATACGGGTAGCTAGATCTCTAGACCTGGCCCCATTGACTATCATGGCCAGGGACGAATGAAGAGGCGTGTTTCATCAGGATATTCGGAATCGAGAGGCATGTTATTCAAGAATTTGATGGACCAGCAAAAATAATAAAAGTGAAAATTCTGCAAAACCACTACAGGGATGAGACAAAGATGCCTACTTCGTATTGGTAACGGTGACTCTCATTTCGAGCAAGAGAATTAAAACTCCTGAATTGGATTCAAATCTTTCAATCTGTTCATGCTATTCATGAAAAACTACATTCATTTATGTTTTTTTTTTTCAGATGAGGGGGAAGGACGGTTAAAGAATGTTCAAGAAGCAACATGTGAAAGTAAAAGTGCTTGAATTCTGTTAATTTATATTTCTCATTTTTATATAATTTCAGATACTCCAGAATCCTCAGATATTATAGAAGAGGATGATATCGTCAAAGAACTCGAAAATATGTTGAACGGAAGTTCAAAAGAAACAAATGATGGGGATGGTATGTATTTCTTCTTAGACCAAGGCGTTACTACATGATTTTCTCAATCTGCAACGTTAATTGGGGTATTATAATAGTTATTTATCTACCAAGGACGAAAAACTGTCTATTATAGCCGAGTTTGCATCTTGATAGCCGAGACCTTAACCGAGGCTAGCAATCAGACGAGACAATAGACAGTTTTTCGCCGAGGTGAATATTACATTTTTTCGTCGACTTCAACCTCGACATCACGGTCTTATTCGGTGTCAGTGGACTTTGTAGTAAAATCTCACGTTTACAAGAAGCTGTCTGGAAATAAACAGGCTTTTCTGTCTATAACGTATATTAGGCGTATTTGGAGTTCTAAAAATGACAATAATCTGAAATTTTGTATATAGGGGTTATATAGATTAGGTCCTGTTGAATGAAAATATTTTGAAGATCTTGATCAACATCAACTAATTTTTTTCAAATGGAATGCCAATATTGTTCTTTCACTAAATGAAGGAGACTTTGTATTCCGCATCGCTCTGTACCTATATCTGATAGTTTTCAAGCAACCTCAGTCCTCGCCCTTCTGCTTTTGCTTGTCCGAACAGTACAGATTTTGATTTTGATTTTCCTAACTTCCACCTATTCAAGGTTTGCAAGTGAGGTTATTTCCCATTGAATAAACGGCAAATTCTACCAAAAACCGAATGAAACTAGAATACAATGGAACCATAGTAATCCAAATAGGATAAAAAATACACAGACATTCATCTCTTTATCAAATTCATAACAAACATACATTTTTCTATCATTAAATAATCGTTATCACAAACACCTCGCAAAAACAAATTCTATTTCTACTTCTATAACTACACTCAGTTCCAAAAAAAGTGACGCACTTGATATTTGACTTATCTTCTTGAAAAAATAGTAGGCCGATTTTTTTTTTATTTGTTGGTAGGTAATGCATCTGTCTTTAAAAAAAAATAAAGAGGTGAAAATTTTTTCAAAGCCTCCTCGATGGTGGTGGAATAACTCGAACCATGATTTATTCTCAATTTTTGACTCACCCTGTGTGTTAATTTAGTAATGGTATACAAAGTGCTTACATCCTATACGAAAGAGGCTTCTTTTGCGAGCATTTTGTTTTTTTATTTATTGATTTATCTCTGAAAATTTCCGAATTACAGCTGATACCTTACGCTTATCCCACAAATTAAATTTATTGAAGGATCAGAGTACTCAATAGTATATTACATAACAAGAGTTGTAAAACGCATATTACGCACGAAGTGGAGAGAGTTACACACGATGCCGCATAGCGGCGAGTGTGTAACTCCACAAGTGCGTAATTGCTTTACAACTCGAGAATTGTACTATACTTTTCCTACGACTACACTATATTTTCTTCCGGATAGTGCAGATATTGTATTGAGGCACAAATAACAAATACCAATATAAAACGTCTCCCGTCACTAAGCATGAGAAGTTACAAATCACAATTCTTGTGTTTGTTTATTGATACATTGCATACCGAGACATTTTCCTCAATTCGAACTGAAATGGAGCCGTTTTTCATATCTAATCAGCTTTATTAATAGGTAGCAAAAAATACATTGTATAGAAATATAAAATTGACATTCGTAATGGTTATTTATTTGTAACAGTGCAGCACGAGATATTCTGTAATCGTTATTAAAAATAATAAAAAAAAGTTCTCCAACTGCGCTCTGATCCACCGACCTTAGGGTTCGGAGCCATTACCATTTCTCTGTGTTCGTTTATATTTTATAAATATAATTTCGAAGATTGATCTTTTTCAATTATTCCTGTTATTCAAAGAAAAAGGAATTCATCAATTTAATGTTGAGTATGTATGTTATTCGAAGAATTACCTTCAACAGGAGCATTCTGCCGAAAATAATTTAATCTGTTCAGCATTAAGTATTTTTGATTTTTTTACTTCGGAATATCATCCTTCCCTTTTGAGGAAATGGGATATGTTGCTATATTAATATTGTGATTGATATTTAGTGTTGATCGTAACATGGAATATATCGACCAGAGTGATGATGATTTCATCGAATTTGATAATTCCTGAAAATATATCCGGTATTATTTCTAATTCTCTCTTTTTTATGTGCTATTTTGTATATCATTCACGAGACTTTAGCGGGTAGCAACTCATTTTTTTACCATTCTAGCATTTTCCAACATTTCTCATCTGCTCATCGTCATCGCTTGACAGCATTTTTTCAACTGAAATTGAGGATTATCAATAGAAAATATTCATATTTTGAAAAAATATAACTTTCCTGATGCTTTCGGTTTCGGTGGATAGCTGGATTTATTGATAAAAAAATAAGTACCTACCCATACCCAATAGTAGTGACATTAATGAAATTGTTAATTGTTATTGACACATCGCCTAAGCAACAAAACAAAGTCATCTATCAACATACCTATGAAAACCGTGCGATCGCTCTCTTTACGCACACGTGTGTAAGGAGAAGCTTACTGCCATTGTTTTGTGTACAATATCCATCACTTACAGTAGTAGTCGTAGGAAAAATTTATTGGGTTGTACTCTGGTAGGATCACATTGTCTTCAAAAAAACAAATGCCGTTGCCATAGCAACTAATTTGTTGTATGCCTCCATATTTTACCATTTGTCGTTGTGTCATTAATTAAGTGTCTTGTTTTATTGACTAAAATTACATAAAATGCCTCAAATAAATCCTGAACAAGTAGCAAGATTAGTTGCGTTAGTAAACGATAGGCGTAGTAAACGTTACGCCGCTCGTGCAGTGGGAGTTCATGAAGCAACTGCTCGTAGAGCAATCCGCAAGTACGAACAAACAGGAAGCACCGCTCGGAGGGTCGGTTCTGGTCGCCCCCGAAAAACTTCTCCAAGAGATGATCGCTTTTTGAGATTGCGGATTTTACGGAATCGATCAAATACTGCAGTAAATGTTCAGCAAGATCTTCGCCAAATTCGTGATGTTGCTGTAAGTAAGCAGACGGTATGTAGACGTCTAAAAGAAGTTAATTTAAAAGCTAGGAGACCTGCAGATGGTCCCAAATTATTGCCCGAACATCGTTCTGCTAGAAGAAATTTTGTTGAAAATTATGGTCAGTGGAATATTCCTGAATGGTCGAATGTTTTGTTTACGGATGAGTCAAGGTTTTGCCTTAACATGGTGGATGGAAGAAAAAGAGTGTGGAGAAGAACTGGTGAACGGTTTAATCAAAATTAAATAACAGAATGCGAAAGTTTTTATGGTGGGTCCGTTATGGTGTGGGGAGGGATTTCAATGATTGGAGAGACACCCCTTCATGTTTTTCCGGTGAGGCAGTCGATGAATGCCCAAATTTACATTGACATTTTAGAGCAGTATGTCTTACCTTATGCAGAGTTAGTGGCAATAATTTCATATTGATGCAGGATAATGCCCGACCACACACCGCAGCAATAGTGCGAAACTTCTTAGAAGCTACTGGTATTACCACATTACAATGGCCTGCGAGAAGCCCCGATATGAATCCTTTAGAACATTTGTGGGATGAATTAGGGAGAAGGGTACGTTCTCGCGAGAGGTCTCCGGAAAGTCTCGCAGAAATGGCAGATGCATTAGTGGAAGAATGACATCGTATACCAATGGAAACGATAAGCAACTTAATTTCCAGTATGCCTCGTAGATTATAAGTTCTTAGAGTTGCTAGAGGAGGCAATACACGGTATTAAAAGCAGTCATCCCAATTTATAATTTTGTGTTTAATAAAAATGTTTTTTAAAATTATTGGTATCAGTTTATTTCATTAAAAAATTGTTTCCGATAAATTCAGAAAGTTGGTTAATCTGCAAGGATTCAGCAAAAAAAGCTGTAATTCGGGAAATTTTGAAGATAAATCGATGAATAAACAACAAAATGCTCGCAAAAGAAGCCTCTTTCGTATAGGGTGGAATAAATCATGGTTCGAGTTATTCCACCACCATCAAGGAGGCTTTGAAAAAATGTTCACCTTTTTAAAGACAGATGCATTACCTACCAACAAATAAAAAAAATCGGGCTACTATTTTTTTTTTTTTCAAGAAGATAGGTCGAATATCAAGTGCGTCACTTTTTTTGGAACTAAGTGTATTTTAATTCGCGATAGAAAATTACACGTCACCCCACCTGTCGGCAATAACACATCTGACCGGTTTGTTTTGATGGATGTGACCCAACCAAAAACCAAATGAAAAGGGAACATACCACATTGACAGCTATCGAAAAGCTCGACATGGGGCTTACGCTCATTTTTTATCGCGAATAGAAGCTTCAGTGAAGGAGACACCGTGCATTATGGCGATAAATACAAATATTCTCTACCTCTATTTCACAGTGTCGAAAATCGTTTTCATTCCTCTAGATCTTGGGATTTTATTCTCTCGCCGTCTCTATAAAAAATTTTTAGTAATATTTCAATATACCTGATTCAACCCAAAATGGCACTTCGCTTGAAATGCCACTATCAGAAACGTGAAAGAAAAATGCATACGGTAGTCAGTGACACCTTGTTGAAAAATGTTTGAAGGAGAAAAATATAGGTGTATTGAAAAAATATTAAAATTTACTTATCTTGGGACATTTTAGGAACGAATCTCACCCGGTTTCATTTTGTACTCTACGGAATTAGCGGTATTCAGTGTCGCTGTAAAATTTGTCATGTGCGCCCTGAACATTTTCTACTGAAATGAAATGTTTACATTCTTTAATTTTGCGCACAGGATAATTCGTGGTGATCAATTGCGCTTAATATTTTTTGCACATAACGATGTCCCACAAACACACTTGGATTCAAGGTCATGGAACAACCCATATGATATTTCAACATTTCATGTAACGATCTAATTTCTTCTCATCAAAAAACTCAATTCCAGGCATCGATAAACTACATACCAAAGAAGACTGTAAAGGACAAAGCGATAAGGGTAAAATTTCGGTTAATTTAAAAATTCTATTCAAATGCATGAGCTTTTTTTCAGATAAAGATGTTAAAGATGAAAGTGAGAACACCATTGTTGAAGATGGAAAAGAAAATGGTTGGTTCATCATTATTTGGTTTTGTAATTTGTACTTTCTTACAATTTTGTTTTCTAGATTTAGAGGAAACCATCATAATTGAAAATGAAAATACGAAAGAATCTTTAATGGATATGATTATGGAAGAATTTCTCTCAGATACTGAAAAAGGTAAATGAACCGTGTACAGTATTTTTTATTGTGCTGTTGACATTATGAATCACAATTTTCGATATGGCATTTTTTCATTAATGTCTTTGAACGAATTCTTGAATGGAACATTTAAAAAAATTGAATCAAAATAGATATCATTGAAAAATTGCGAAAATACTCAAAAGTGGAATGAAATGTTTACACTGAGGTAAAAACTTTGTCATTTCTAATATGTTCAATAATAAACAACAATGACGCATGACGTGAGAAAAAGAGCTATTTTCCTGGCTGATGCCATACAGAACATTGGATTACGACCTCTCAAAATCTATTCATTGATCCGTATAACCGAATACTAATTGCAAGTAATGTCATTAAATTCTGAAGATTATGCAGAATTCGAAAATGCAATGATATAGTTGGTGCTCCTTTTGAGAATTGAATATTTCACGTGAAGTGGAAAAAGTTGATGTATTTTTTTCATCTCTTGGAGCGCACGAAAGGAAGTCCCTATAATGTTCGTGGAACATCATGCACCTAGGGAGGATAAGGAGAGGAGGTGTTGGAATTTTTTCGGACTTTCAGGGGTTATAAGTTCTTGGAAATACTTCCATTGGCAAAGAATTCCAAAGCTTCGCGGTTATATAGACGAACGAGTTTTGGTATAGTGTTGTTCGACATTTTTCAAGGTTAACGACGAAGGTATGTGCTGACTGAGCCTGTCGAGTTCATCTGAATGATATTGATAGTGATAGAATTATAGCAGAATTTTCTGAAGAATATTTCCCGTGGAGGTATTTATAGGCAAGCGAAAAGTCGCCGACTTTTCTATGGTGTTCTAATGGGGTCTAAGAGTTGGTTATTGTGACATGACCCACCAGGCAAATGGCTCTTCTCTGGATGGAATCTAAGAGCATCAGTGTATGCTTGGGTGCTTAACCCCATACATGAGAACAGTATTCTAAAACTGGCCATATCTGTGCTTTGTAGATGATGAGAAACTGTTGTGGTATAAAGTAGATTTTCGCACGGACCAAGAATTATATACTAAAACGAGACTTTCACATTGGATTGATACGATTCAATTCACTAACAAATAACTTGAGGTTGATTAAAATTCAAAAAAGAAATCAAGAAACATTTATCGATACATCATCTCTTTTTTTTTGTGCAATTACTATAGATTTCCATTCAGTACCTAACAGTTGAGTCAATTAAGAATCATTTTGAAAAATAAGGATTTCTTCTTGAGTGTGATTCTGTTACACCCGGTATACCAGTAGTTGCAACATACATGATATTGAAACTATGTATCTTACCACACCAAGTACACGTTGAAGTTTTAACTTATATTCACAACTTTCATTTACAGCTCAATCTATTATGTATATCGAGATCCTAATCTGAACATACTCTTCAAAGTTGATTGAATTCAACTATAATTTTACATCAAAACTTCTATATCATTAACTTATTTCATCAATGACTGTTAAACTGAGATATATCATTATTGATACTCGAAGCACTCTTTCGATTTGAATTTAATACCATTATCCTTGAAAATTGCAGAATTATTGTTTTACATGAAGGTGTGTTGAGCTTTATTGCGGTAAAAACAATTGAATTTACTCCTTAGCTTGCCTATCATATGCTCTCGAAGTTATAACATTTCTATAATTTTATGTATCTCGGAAATAAAAGCGCCTGGTGCATTATTTCTGGAATTTCCATTATCTATTACATCAACTAGCCATGGTGCGTTGGACCTTTGTTCATCATGATCATCATCATTGAAATACATCGTATTCGGTCTATAGTCAGTAGTCCTCGAGATTCCTAGATATTTCAAAAAATAAGAGGTCTACGCAGGAAACTTCTGGTATTGGATATCCCATAACAAAAAGTTGAAAAAAAAATCCGTTCATATAATATGCTCAGAAATTAGAATCAGAGATCCAAGTCCTTATTCAATAATATGAAGTTGATAGAAGAAAAGGAAAATCTGATCACATCATTTTTGCACCAAAAATAAATATGTCAATGTTTCTCGAATTCAATCAATGCCGTATATAATCTCTGTGAAGATGACAATGTTCAGGAGACTAAAATATAATTATGTAAATCAATAAATTCAGTATTATAACATTATTCATATTTTTCAAGTTCGAAAAAATGATGATTCTGAAGAAACGATTATCCTAGACTGCGAAAATATTAAAATAGAATCTGATGGGCCGGATATTCAAGTTTCTGAAGGAAATATCGATATCGGTGATGAAATTTTGTCATTATTGAAAGAAGTACAATCACCCAAAACCAGCAATGAGAGAAATGTGAATTCTGAGGATGATGTCGAAGCAGAAGAGATATTGAAAATGCTTCAAGAAAGCAGTTCTGATCAAAGTGATTCTGAAAGTACTGACGAGTAAGTTATAATGAGTTGATTTTTCACTTGAAATATGAATTCTTTTGGTTTTCAGTTGTTCTTTATCATCCAGTGACTCCAGTGTAGAGATTGTTGAAGTAGATAAACAAATCACAATTCCTGATGATAGAGTTTCCCAAATATTGAAGGAATACAACATGGTGAATTGTTTTGTGCAGTTAGAAAAGTTGAAATTATCCCAAGGTGAAATTGAGAACCACCAAAAAAAACTAGAGGATAATTGGGAGTGGTATGTTGTAACTTTGCAGCAAAGTATATAACTTATTATGCATTTTTTTGCAGGCTCTGTGATTTGACAAACCTCCAAAACAAAAGAAAGAATCCTTCTCCCGTTCCCTTTGAAGAAACTAAGCGCCACAGGAAAAAACGAAAGGGAGTATCCTGCGATCAAACTGATTTGGCTGGTTCTTCCACTGATAGCGATGTTGAGATGAGTGGATATAGATCCGGTACTCCTGTACTTCCTCAGCATTTGGAAAACAAACTTGATGATATTTTGGCAAACTCAATATGCAAGGAGTTGAGGAGAGATGGAAACTCTAGCTCTGAAAGTAGTGAAGATGATGATGATTCAGCTACCAAGAAAAAGAAAAAGGGAAATGGTGATGAGGTTGAAAACAAAGGAAGTAGCGAAGACAAATCCAAGGTGATTTTTTTATCATTTCAATAAAAACACACTTTCAATAACATGTTTTAGCGTGTCCTGAGCAAGGAAGAACTGAAAAAGAAAGCATGGAAAAATGATCCATTACTCAGAGGACGACTATCTTCCCATTCTGAGAGTGATGAAAGTAAAACTTCGAATTCAAATAGAAGAAGGAAGAAAACACGTTATGAGAAGACTGACATTAGCATTGATTCTGACAAACTCGATTCTGACAGTGATGCTGATGTATACAAGAAGAACAAATCAAAGCTTGAAGAAAAAGAAATTAGCCCTATCAAAAGAAACATTCCTGTCTCGGATACCAGCGATAGCGATAGTGATATAGAATTGTAAGAATATCACCTACCAATTATTCATGTTCCGACTATTTATTTTATTATTTGCTAATTTCTAGTGTTCCTCAAAAGATGAAAACTCCAGTGAAAGCTGAGAGTGATGAACTTGGTCCGGGTTCTAGTCAGAAAGGTAGGCGTAACATCAGAGCCTTGATGTCTGAAGATGCCTTGGCGGAGGCCACACAAAAAGCCAAAAAAGAAGAATTAGAGAGGATAGAGAGGCTGAAAGAAAGGGATAAAGTGATCGAGACTTTGTCTCAGTCATTTAGCATGACTCAGAGTGAAGAACCGGTAATGATAAAAAAAAGTTGTACTGTATGTGTAAATCTCAATTTTTTTCCAAGTATTTCATTCGAACAATACAAAAATGCATTTTTTTCGTCACATGTATTATTTGATCAAAAGTTGTTTCCAAATCAGCAAGCCAAGTGCTGGCCCTGGCACAAAATAGAAATACTGAAATATAGGGTTGTTAACAAAAAAACGGAATTTTGTTTTTGGGAAATAACTTTTTTATTAATAGACCGATTTAATTGATATTGGTCTTGTTTGAAGGAGAATTGAACAAAACAAAACGTCAATTCCATATTCATCGATTTTTTTCATACAACATGGCGGACACACCGAAACTTGGCCGAACTTGAAAACTTGCTGGAACTCTTTTGAGTCACTCTGTATATCTTTGGGTGTGATATGCTGAGACTGCTGGACTTTTCTGAACATGCAAATTTGCCGGAAAATAACTGACGTAATATGACAAGGATGAAAACAGGTGTTTTTTCACATCTGGATTCCGATTTGCTTGCGTTTTGTTGGTTTGCCTGTATTTTCTGTTTGAAAAATAACATAAAAGCAAAGATAATATCTTCATTGTTACAGATTTGCCAAAAAATTATGAAAAATAAACTTTTATTCCATTTAACTGCTGAATGAAATTTTGGAATGAATGATGTTCACTGCATTGGGCATAGAAAGTTTAGTTCTTGTACCGGATTGCATCATCTTATAACATGGCGTTTCGGAAATATTCAGGAAATATCATCTTCGAGAGCCCCCGTTAAGGAGACCGAACTTTTCTTCCTATTTTTGGTCGAAGAATCTGCTGCTGCAGGCTAATTTCGGGATATAATTATACTTTTCTAATCTAAAAGTTCGTTTGTATCGAATATTCGATGCATTAGTCGATATATCCAGATGAAATCCCAGCACTCTTATCAATATGGAACGATCAATATAAAACAGATATGTGGCGTAAAACCGACGTATGTATGTTTGGCGCGAAAGAAGACCGCACTTTGATATGCGGTCGGAAGAAATTTCACTAATAGTTCATTTCCATCACTGTCCAAATCCGACGGCACATTAGCAACAACATCGCAGGAGAAAGCAAATATTTTTGTAGAGATGTCCGCAGCAAACTCTACTTTAGATTCCCAAGGAAAAGTGCCGCCAGACATTCCACCGGTTGAGAGTCGAATGCCCGAAATCGTCTTCCGTCAACGCACTATCAGACGAATTTTGCTTGGTCTCAAAACGAATAAGGCGAACGGTCCTGATGGAATTCCACCCATTATCCTCAAAAAATGTGCACCAGAATTAACACCGATTCTCTGCAAGTTGTTTACCGTCTCGTACAGGTTGGGTATTTTTCCATCATGCTGGAAGACAGCTAGAGTCCAGCCAATCCCCAAAAAAGGGAACAAGAACCTGCCCAACAACTACAGGTCCATTGCCCTGTTATCAATAATCTCCAAAGTGATGAAGAAAGCCATCAATATTGAGCTTATCAAATATCTGGAGATCTCAGGAATCATCAATGATAGACAATACGGCTTTCGCCACCGAAGATCTACTGGAGATCTACTTGCCTATGTCACCCAATTATGGCAAGCTTCATTAGAAAAACACGGGGAATCTCTAGCTGTCGCGTTGGACATATCGAAAGCATTTGACCGTGTTTGGCACGAAGGACTCCTCCACAAACTACCATCATACGACTCACCACCTCAGCTATGCCATCTCTTATCGAGTTTTCTTTCAGGTAGATCGCTTCATGTGGTGGTGGACGGTGTATCGTCTGATACCATTGGCATCAATTCCGGCGTTCCACAAGGATCAATTTTGGCACCAACATTATTCCTTCTTTATATCAATGATCTGTTGGGAGTAACAACTTGCCCCATCCACAGCTTTGCAGATGATAGTACCCTCCATACTGCGTTCTCTTCCAGAATTCCCATTTCTTCCCAGGAAACTGAGAACTCACGGCGCAGGCAGGTCAATGCTGTCAATGAAGACCTTGCTGAAATCACAGCCTGGGGAACCAACAACCTAGTTGAATTCAACGCCACCAAAACTCAAGCCTGTATTTTCTCTAGAAAGGCGGAACTCAGTATGCCCGACATTGTAATGTGTGGCACCACCATCCCCACCAAGCCCACCATATCTATGCTCGGTATTTCCATCAGCAACACTCTTTCATGGGATAATCATGTCAGATCCATCGCAAAAGCTGCTTCACAAAAACTCGGATTCTTGTTCCGTGCGAAAAGCTACTTTACACCTCAACAGCTTCTCATGATCTACAAAGCGCAGATACGGCCTGTTCTAGAATACTGTTCCCAAATATGGGGTTCAGCACCAAAACATACGCTGATGCTCTTAGATTCCATCCAGAGAAGAGCCATCCGCCTGGTGGGTGACGCCACACTCACTCACTCTTTGACAGCATTGGAACACCGAAGAAAGGTCGGCGACCTTTCACTTTTCTACCGATACTTCCACGGGAAATGTTCTTCGGAAATCTCTGCTATCATCCCTTCACTAGCAATACCTGTCAGACGAACTAGACAAGCCCAGTCAGCACACCCTTTCGTTGTCAACCTCGAAAGATGTCGAACAGCACTTTATCAAAACTCCTTCATCCATAGAACGGCTAGGCTCTGGAATTCATTGCCTGAGGAAGTATTCCCAACAACATATAATCTCCAGAAATTCCAATACCTACCTCCTATCCCTATCCTCCCTAGGAACGCACGATGTTCTTTGAACATTATAGGGATTCTCTTTCGTGCGCTCCAAGCGATAAAAAAAAATAACTAGTGTTCGCTTGTTTCAGTATTACAGGTAATTTTATTCCAAAAAGTGAAAAATGTACTGACCATCCTTAAGCGCAATAAATGTTGAAACTTCAGGGCTATTTAGATAGATATAGCCGGACTTCTTTCAGAAATATAAATAATTATCAACAGACCTAGAGTTCCTATTGAAATAATAAAATGCACCCCATTTTTGGTTCAGATTATTCTTGTGCTTCAACTTTGAATACAACTTACTTTTTTATATCGAAGAAAATTTACACGTATTAATCAACGTTATTTCTTGGGATTCTATTATATTGATCCAGAAAATAATATCGTTGATTATTCTGTTGTATTTTCAGGAGGTTAACCCACTGTTCCTAGATGTAGATGAAAAATCTGGGGAACCGACAATTCATGTTCATAATAAAGTTACAGCAAAACTAAAAGACCATCAAAGAATAGGAATTCAGTTCATGTGGGACTCATGTTATGAGAGCGTTGAAAGGTTGCAGAAACATGATGGATCAGGATGTATTTTGGCACATTGCATGGGTCTAGGAAAAACCTTCCAGGTAAGACTCGAAAAACAATCAGTAAGGTATTCTACACCACAAAATTGAATGATAAATCAATAACTACTGCAATTGATATGGTAGTAGACTGAGAGCCAGCGACCGCCAGACTTACGTCATTTCAACCATGGTTGATATTTTCTATGTGTGTAACAACTCATTCGGTGGAAACTTTTTGGGGGTTACAAATCTTCGATAGGTGGCGTGCACTTTGACCGACCCTGGAGGTAAAATATTGAAACACAACATCACTCTCCTATAAATCATTGAAACACAACCTCACTTTTTTATTTGTTTACAGAGGAATCAAAGGATTGTAATAGTTTTTCACAATATTTTGGCATACGAATCGTGTTTTTTTCGCGCTATTCATCAATTCAAGCCCGCCTTCTTATTGTGCTGTTGTACAGGGTGGCCAACTAAGAATCCAGAGTTCGATACCTCTGTTGTCTTGAGAAATACAAAAGAAATTTTGCATTCAAATTAAAGTGATAACCGAGCTTCACATTTCAAAATTTCTTTGAAATACACAGGGTGTTCCGTAAGGTCACATCACATCAAAGCTATGTTTTTTTCATTGGAACACCCTATATTTTATTTCATTTTTGAATTCTCCCTGAAGATCTGATTTCAACGACGTATCATACATTTAATCGAAACAAATTATAAATTTAGATTTTTTGACCACCTTGTAATTTCAATTGAACACCAATTGCATAGTGAGTGAAAAGTTGAGATAGGGACATGTGAACCGTTTTGACGAATAATGAACAGTTTCGACAGAAAAAAATCCTGAACTTGGAAAATCTCGATTTTGCACACCCTATATGTCAGTAACTTTCACTGCTAGACCCTAAGTATGCTAGGTCGTTGAAATCAAATCTTCAGGGAGAATTCAAAAATGAAATAAAATATAGGGTGTTCCAATGAAAAAAACAAAGCTTTGATGTGCTGTGACCTTACGGAACACCCTGAGTATTTCAAAGAAATTTTCAAATGTGAAGCTCGGTTATTACTTCAATTTTGATTCACGAATTTTTTTTGTATCTCTCAAGACAACAGAGAAATCGAATTCTGGAGTCTTAGTTGGCCACCCTGTACAATACACAAAAAATGCAGCGAGACGAAGGAATGTGATTTTTAAATAGTAATCTCACATAGTTTTCATTATGAAATTTTGTCATTTCTTGATTTCTTATTAAAATTCCTTCTGCCACTTCCGCAATAGAAGCTAATACTGCTTATTGATAGAAAATGTCTACAACACAAACGATCATATTTCGCCAGCATGTCAGACTAGTCCTCTTGTTTGATTGCATGAATCCAATCTGTTTGCATTCTTTTAGAAATTTCACGAGTATTTCTATCAGCTCCTATCGCAGAAGGAACTCTGATGAGAAATCAAAGAAATTACCAAATTTCAAAATGAAAACTATATGTGAGTGACTATAGTAGGTACTTACTTCTAAATCATAATGTATTAACTGGATTCCTTCGTATCTTATTGCATTTTTGGTGCATTGTACAACAGCACAAAGTGATGGCATGCGCGAATTAATGAATAGCCAAAAAACACGATTCCTATGCCAAAATAATTGTGAACAACTATTTCAATCATTTGTAAACAAATAAGAAAAGTGAGGTTGTGTTTCACCTCCAGGGTCTGTCATCTGACATTTCTTGCACGCAACCCATACCGGGGATTTCAAATGATACTGGAAGTTGAAACTACGAAAAAATTACTGGCAAAAGCGTTATTTCAACAAAGCTTATTTTTATATGTTCAATTGGACCCTATCATATAATAGATTATACAATTGCCAGACACTTACCACGAGTTGTTACCCCTGCCTGACAACTTTAAAAATCGTAAAAATAATGTGACATTTACGTCATAGCAACTAAGCTGAATTTTTTATATGTTATTAAGAAGGTTATTTTAGATTATCATCCAAACATCCAGACACTTTCGATGGGGCAAACATGCCGCCAGACATCACTGAAAGTCAACCGTGAGTGCGAGTGAGAGCAACTAAATTATACATTCACCTAAAATGCCAATGCATGGAAAATTTATCGACCCGAATTGATTTCGCGCACGTGCACTCTTGAGCTTGCGCAGTATGCCCCAATGATACAGCGTTAATAGAATGAGGACAGGACCGGACTCGAAAATTCTGATTTTGTTTTTTTATCAACATACAGACGTTTAATTTCTTGGATTCATACATAAATGCGTAGTTCCTAACATATATGAAATATCAGTCATGAAATAAATCAGTTGAAAATCACATAAAGCGTTAACCAGACCACAAAATTCTGTTAACTAGTGTGAACTGTGACCCAGACCACTTAAACCAGACCTGTGCATCCATTTGACAGCTATGACATCGCCCGGGCAACGTCCTTCATTTTACATACTGTTGCCAAGTGGATAATTATATCAAACTGTTTGTTCTGTGGAATTTTTCAGCCAAATAGTCACTGAATCATATAGTTTTATATTTTCTTGATAACTGTCATGGAGTTATTGATGGAGAATTCATGTATTCTTTATTATCACCATAATACTAAATTACATAAAAATATTTCAACTGGAGATTCTAGAAACATAAATATTGAACAAAAAATTATATTAACATTGTTCCATAAATGGCCTTTCAGGGGGTTATAACCTTTTTTTCTTGATAAAATATTAAAATTTTTCACATGCATGTATTCACCTAACTTGTTCTCGAAAATTGAAAGATTAAGCTCTAAGTCATTTCCACAAATGTTTATGAAATGAACAACAATAGTAGATGATGACAGAAGAAAAACAACTACTTTAATAACCAATGCACGCAGTACATTGAATAACATCCTCCCAAAATCTATGCAAGTGTTTTTATGCCTAATTTGAAATGTTTCAGAATATTCCGAAATTTTGAGCAGGGGCGGTCTATGGGCACTTCTTACCCAATTTTTTTGTCTATATAATTTTTGGCAGTTTGACCAGTAAATGTGAATTCTGTTTGATAGCATTCACAGTTTTCAAGATGGATTAATTTTGAAATTCTGATGAGTAACTCCTATATGAAAACTACATGTGAAGAATAAAAATGTTGTAATATACAAGGTATTCCATTTGAAAATTGAAAACCGGAGCCATTTCCGGTGAAACCGGAGGTAACTGGGAGGTGAAACATATGCGAAAACATTCCTCTTCATGCTGAAATGATCAACGAATAATCTTCTGAAGTAGTCCATACTCAAAGTGGAGTGGGATGGTATCATAGAGAAAAACCCAAAGTCGTCTCCACAAATTTAATAAGAGAAATGCAGTTAGTTCTGCTTCATAACAGTTTTGTGAGACATGTTTCGACCGTTCAAACGGTCATCATCAGTCAAAGCATAAAAGTAAATCTGTGAAGAAAAATCATTCAAAACTAACATCTAGCAACCATAGATACAAAGAGAAGTGGAAAAAAACAAGTTATATAATACCAAAATTTGATGTGAAGTGAAATATCAAAAGCAAGAAAAAATTATTATCATTATTGTTGAGATTAATATCAATTGAAGGTTTGTTACAAAAGATTAAGTAATATGATGAAGGTACAAACAATTTCAACGAATGATGATGTTTTTATATATTTGTTCTTATGTTATGTCATGGAGATAAAATGTTATTTAGTTCAGTTGTTATTAATAAATTACATAATTAACAGACATTTTCATATTCACATTTTCACACGAAAATTAACTAAAATAAGACGTTTTCGAGATGTTTTAGTGTTCGATACCGCACCGAAAATTATAATTTTTCAAAATACTTTTTTGGAATGTTATTTCGAAGACTGTAACCCTTGGCACGATAATACACTACACTGTTTTACTACTAACCAAACCGATTTTTTAAAAGCTTCGATACGTGTTTCGCTAACTATGTTAGCATCTTCAGGAGAAGATTAAACCTAAGATTAAAACTGAATATCCTATTCTAGTGTGCTGCTTTTATACTAGGTGGAAGGAAAAAAAAGTGGCTGGGGTCAATGGCTATGATTTCAAAATAGTAGATAAATTAATACGTAGACATAAATTTATGTTGACACTTCGAAATTCTACGACTTTTCAATTGGATAAAAGGAACTCTAGAATAATCCCAATCCTGTTGAATCCCAAGTATACAAAGGGACCTGGTGAGGTTTTCGAACACTTGGGTTTGGAAAGGTAAAGTGGGCACACTTGAAAAGTCGGGAATATACGAAATAAGTTGTAATGATTGTGATAAAACATATGTAGGCCAAACCAGGCGACCCATAAAAACAAGGTTCAAAGAACACATAGCACATTTAAAATATGGTAGGTTAGATAAATCGTGTGTAGCCGAACATATGTTCAATCACAATTATAACACACATATTACTAACCTCAAATTAGTTAAGCAAGTTAATAATATTAGAAAATTAGACGCATATGAAAGCTTAGAGATATTTAAGAATAGTAATAGAGTAATGAATAAGGATAATGGACCTATTCCAGGGTTGACACATATAGCTAGTATATATGCAGCACACTAGAATAGGATATTTAGTTTTAATCTTCTCCTGAAGATGCTAACATAGTAAGCGAAACACGTGTTGAGGCGTTAAAAAATCGGTTTGGTTAGTGCAAATAGATAGAACAAATTTTAGAACAAATTTTTTTTAGTGATAAAACAGTGTAGTTTTTGGAATGTATTTGTCTGTATTTCTATTTTTTTAATTGACCACCCTAATCTGGGAAACGGGGCAATTTCGGACTTAGGCAAGTTGCTTTAAATCGACTTATTTTGACCTCAGGACTCTGTGCTAAGATTTGGTATAGACATTTCAGGGACCCTTTTATTTGTTTGTTAGGCATATGTTCTCAATAAATCTCAATAAATGGGAAAATTTTGACCAAGTTCAAGTGACTGTATCTTCCTTGGATATTCAAATGAAGGAAAGCATATCCTCTTTATGATCCAGATCTCAAAAAAATTATTGTCAGTCGATACGTCAAATTCACTAAAAATTTGTGTTCTGATAAAAATGATGAATTCATTCCGGAAGAAGTTTCATCAAAAACATAAAATGATAGTACGAAAGATCATTTCGAATTAACTATCGCTGATGTTGAAAGCAAAACGTTAAATGAAAATATTGATGAAAACGTAAGAATAGAAAACTTGAACAATCAGGGAGAGGAAGAAGAACTATCAAAAAATCATAGTAGAAAGGAAATGTACGGAAGACGTGGAAAACCTAAAATCATCAGAATAGGATGTAAAGATGTACCTCGAAAACAATATAAGGTAACAAACACGTCACAACATGATGATGACCAATTTTCTGAATTCGCGGGAATGGGTCAAGTCGCTGATACAATAAATTTAAAAGAAGCTTGAGAAATAGTAAACTCACCCGAAAATAAAAGAATTATTGGATCTAGACTTATACTGCGAAATAAATTTAATGCAGCAAGAAAATATCAATTTTCTCGAAACATTTGCTCCAGTTGTTAGAGCTAGTTCAACTAGACTTCTTATGGCATTATCACTTGGATACAATTTGAAAATTCATCAAATGGACGTAGTCAAATGAAGAATTAGAGGAAGAAGTATACATGAGAATCCCAAATCAACTCAGAGAAGTCCTCGAAGAAATCATTGAAGAAGGAACAGCTCAAAACAGTATATTGAAGCATCCAAGACTCGATTGCAGAAAATTCGAGCGAATGAGAAGGAAAAAGCATGTTCAATCAAAAAGGCATTATATGAACTTCGTCAATCAGGAAGACAATGAAGCTATCATATCATATGTATATCATTCGAAGAACGACAATCAAATTTAGATCTATGTTGATGACATAGATTGAGATGATTTAAATTCCTCTGGTGTGCCCACTCTTCAATTGTTTCGTCAGACAAACTCTCGATATGAACCATTAGAGTTCGGAACGTGGGGAAACATTTTAAAATGCGTTTAGAATCTTATTATGAAGTTGAACTAGACTTCCAAGGATGTGTTCTCCTTCTTTCGGGACCTAAAAAGTGCCGTTGATGATGCACGAATTCAATAACAGCTGAATAGAATCATCTAGACACAGGGCGCAACAAATATTCCGCGCGCAAACATATTGATCTTGACTCGGCCTATCTGTCACCAGTGTCACGTTTCACGTATTCGGCATATATGCGTTTCAGCTTCAAATATAAGAGCATTTTTGACGATTTCAAATAATAAGATATTGAATACTATTTATACATTGCATCAGTTTAAAAAAGGTGTGTAGTGTGTGGCGTAAATTGAAGATCAGCAGCAAATCAACTAGGCTGAGAGAGCATGCCAAGAAGAATAATTGGAGCCGTTGGTTTTCAATTGTTCGTTGTGTTCAGTGTTGTTGAATTTTCAATTTCAGGTATCTCTGTATCCCATGTATCGTTTACAAAAATTGAGTTAATGTTAATAAATTCAGGTTGGTGACAATGTGAGAAATTGATGGGATTATATCTGGATCACTCCATAAATTGTTATAACTGGGGATCACTCCATAATTTGTTTCTGAGTTTTTGAGTAGTAAAAATGTACTTTTCGTGTCACCTTGTATAATGAGTACACTTAACTAATTTTCACACAATAGTCTTAATTGGAATTCTGTGTTTGAAGGGGTGTGACTAATAAGCATAAAAAGGATTTATATAGAGTGGCCCCTAAAATGTGACAAACCACAAATCTATTTTTATAAAACATTAGTTTTTAGAAATTTGTGATCTTTTCTGATCTCAAATATATACGTTATAATATTTTTGGCAACTTTTATGACCCCCCAGAAAAACTAGTTTTGTCTGATGAATCAATGATCACTCAATTAATATGTGAATATAGGTATTCGATATCGCGCCACATTATGGGGTCACAAAAATTAAATGTAATAGAAACATAACATACTGTATATTACAGTATACATAACATATGAAAAAAATGGTTATTTGAGTAATATTGGCGATTTTCAAGGCCATCAGATGACTTGGGAAACCGTCAAATGGAATCGATTTTGACACGTGTCACATATTCATTCACTGGTATGGCGATTATGAGGGAAGATATTGAAAAAATAATTATTTGAAAAAGTTGTTTGATAATTAATTTCATACTCATTCAAGCAATAATTCGAGAATATAGGATGACCTATTTTTTTTCAAGTTCTCTCTCCTTATACAAATATCTATGTTTTCTTCTGATTATCTTGACTGTTGTGTAATATACGGCTTCTAATTTCAAAATTTATTTTCAGGTTCTTGCACTCGTACACACATTGTTCAATCATGAAGTGACAAAGACAAAGCACGTCTTAGTTATTTGTCCTCTGTCTACTGTGAGTAATTGGAAAAAAGAAGTAAAATGGGCTTTTAAAGGGATCCCAGAGCATAAAAATTTCAGTGTCTTCACCATAGCGTAAGTGTTAAAAATTATGGCCTTACAAACCTTTTTCAAATATCATTCTCAGATTATATAATGTGACAATATTAGAACATGAATCAAACTTGAAAAAAATAACTTTCTCAGAAATGACACATATTTTCAAATGAAGTAATACTATTAATACTAGAACCGACATAGACAATTTGAGCATAATTTATTCTCACTTTTTAAGTTTACCAGAAAATCGCAATAATATAACAATCAATGAAGAATTTTAAATTTCCCGGTCAAATATGAATATTTTGCAATAGCATCATTGGAATGTCCACTTCTTCTGTTCTTATTCAGTTTAATAAAAAGCGTGATTTCTAAACTCTTTGACAATTGACTCATGACAGATGAAATTTTTATCATTATATAATACTGTTAGACTGGTGTCCATGTGACTGTTCTGATTACCAGCCATGTTGTAATAACGATCGTAGCAGAAATGATTTGCAAGTTTTCTCTACAAAATTCAAGTATAATGTAACATTTCAATAATCCCCAAAAATATTGATGTTTTCATGTTGTGAATGTTCTTTTACACATGTATTATTCCCCACTTAACGGGAGCCAGCTTCAGTGTTGAGTAATCGATAATATGGATTGAATTTTCATATCAATTTTAATGTTTTATAGAGTTTCTGATGAAGAGCCAATAAAGACTCGAAAGCTTGACCAGAAACAAGAGTACCCTTTGTTATTCTTTGACTGCATATTCAAAGGAATTTCACAGTTTCATCCTTAACTTGGACAGTCGCCTAATACTCTCTTCTATATAAATATATATAAACGACTGAGAAGAAAATTTTAGTGAACATAGCCACCATAAAGAGTTAATTGTGTGTTTTTTCAATTTAAATAACCAGTGAATTATAAAAAAGTGGCATTTGAACTCCAACTTGAAATGTCTTGACTAGTGTCACTATTGTATGTACATAATGATGTAATGTAATGTATTCCTGGGGAATAATTATAACTATACATATCCCATGTTGCAAGAATGAATACATTTCCTATTTTCAGTACTCGTAAAGAAAACACAAATAAATATGAAATAGTGAAAAAATGGAGACTTCGTAAAAAAGCCCTACTCGTTTTGGGTTATGAAGGGTTTGAAACACTGACAAACGATTCCAAATTAGATAAACTTGGACCAAACTTGAAAAGTACCATGTTGGAGTCATTGATGGATCCAGGTATATTTTCTTACCTCCGTTGAAGTTTGATTCACTTATAGAATATTTTAGGTCCCGATTTGGTCGTTTGCGATGAAGGTCATCTTCTTCGGAATAAAAATGCTCTCAAATCTATAGCATTGAATAAAATCAGAACCAAACGACGAATCGTTCTCACTGGAACACCTTTACAAAATAACCTCAATGAATGTAAGATACGTAATTTTTTCATGCTCAATGTTTCATATTTTATAGAATCTTGTAGATTACCATATGGTGCAGATTGTTAAACCTAATCTCTTGGGTAATGCAAAAGAATTCAAAACCAATTTTGTCAACCCAATAACTAATGGTCAGTATGAGGATTCCACAGAAGAAGACATCAGACTGATGATGAAAAGAACCCATGTACTGCATAGGCTTTTAGGAAAAACTGTTCAGGTGGGTACACAAATATTTATGTAAAATCGTCTTACTAAGTAAAGCTGTGGGCTCCGTTTCACGCCCAAAAGTAAATATAGTGTCAATTTTTGCCCATCAAATGTCAATAAAGTTTTCCATAATTATGCAATAGCCCAATTTCGGAGGAAAAATGCATTTCATCATTCGAAAGCACCACTCCATCTAGTTCACTAGTTACCGCGTTTTTTCCCTAGTACTTCGTTATTTTTTTAATAATTGAGAATATTCCTGTGTTAGCACATGAATATAAAATTGATTTTCAGGCAGAAAAATAAGGTGAGAAAAATGTTATATGTAAAAAAGTTCCTCTTGGTTTCCTGATTTTCTCGATTCAGTACTCAGAAAGTGTGGTTCACAGGTTCATACCCGTTCAGCATCATGGCGTCCTAAAAGTGGTTCATAATCAATTATAAACTGCCTCGCTTACAAAATTTGAAATCAGGTTTATCAATCCATTCATGTCAAATTGACAGAATTATTCTGTGATTATGGAAAAACAACTTAAATCTCAGCAGCAGTAGTTTGCATCACACTTTTTCAATTGCCGGGTGTACCATTGCCAAGCGATATACAAATACAAAATACAAATCATAGGTAGCTGCATTAGCAGCGTAATTAATTTGCTAACAATTTTTGATTGTCCACCAGATAACTTTACTGAGACAGATATGAAAGTGGCCAAAAATTATGAAAAATGGCTGCCGTTTTTGTTTTTTCAGTTGTTATTTAATAACAAACTACATTTTAAAATCAAAATAGAGTGTCAAGTTTTATTGCATTCGCCTTATTGCAATATTTGACCATGAAATTGAGTTGAATTATCTTCTCGATCTATTTATCCTGAAAGAATCCTAGACATATTTATTGTTTCATGAACAATTATTGAATACGCTAATTGGCATATCTTCTTCCTGATTTCTACAGGTGTAACAACTGGTTTGATATTCTTTGATGCTATGAAATTTTATTCTGAACTCTTTCATCAGATCATTTTTTATTGTTTTCATCTGATGATACCAAGTTTAAATCATCGGCAATGATAAGCAAATCTGAGTGATTCTTCAATGAATCGCTTACTTCCCAGCCCTATAACTTGGAAACTATCATATCAACGACAAAATCGTATGGAAGTTTTTCCGTTGCCAATTTCGATATCTTCATTTTTTAAAACGAAACTTCTCCTCTAAAACCTACAGAAACCGAGTTACACTGCAAAAACTGATATGGATCACCAAGGATCACCAAGTCTACAATCCTGCCATGTTTCATTTCCATAACCTTTTGTAACCTTAAAATCCTCTAATGACTGGGTTATTATTTCATCTTAGAGTAGGTATTTTATGCCTCTATACTATAGCAAAATCAAAGATGCCAGCCGTAAACACTGCAGTGGTCACGCATCAAGAACGTGATTACTAATGCGGTTTTGCAGACGGAGTAGGGGCCCTACTCTCGCCTACAGATATGGCGTTCCTGGCGCTTTGACCAATAAAAGAGTATTTCAAATAAGATCACGCGTTAGTTAGTAGTTTGTTCACCATGGTCTCTTGGATTTGTCTATACTATACACATGTGGGAGCAGGAAGGACAGAGTGAATATATGTTGCACATCAAGCTACTTCCCTTCCTTTAGTTCACAATGTTCCAGTCGTTATAATTGACAACAAGATGGCGAAATAGCGTAGTGATTGAATCGGTCGTAATCAGTTCGAAAGGTTGCTAGTTCGAATCCCCGGCAAAGAAGAGAATTTTTATTCATAAAACGAGAATAAATTATAATTTCCGTAGCCTTGGCTGGAGATGATTCCGCACGATTCGCTGTTGCGTCAGTCAGTAACAAAGCTTACATAGAACACACATGGGCTGAAAGACCTCTCGTAAGGTCGATGGCCAGTTGGTATGTACATACATATCAAAGAAGTACATATACTACTACTAATTGACAACAATATTTTTGGGAATTTCAAATTCAACAGAGATTACCTGGACTTGACTGGTAATCTAACAGACTGTATTTCATTGTACATCTTATCGTATATGCGGTATACTAGTGTAAAAATGAGAATAATACCACGGGCCCAAAGTAACCCCCGCGAGTAAGTTTATTTTCCGAGGGAAAATATATTACCGAAATTAGTTAACACCGCCAATGATTTTGATTTGACCATCTGATTACATCTGATAATTATAATTCAATTCGTTTGTGAAAGAGTACAGTAACTAAGTTACGTTACGTTTTTTAGGAAAATGCCTAAAAATTTCAGATTAATGATGTGGAAGGTTCCCCTGAAAATCTTCATATGCAGTAAGCACGTAAAGGTTTGAGCAAATTCGTTAAAAGCTTGATATGGCCAGTGGGGAAAAAAGGTCAGACACGTCTATTTTCTTTATCAGTAGGGCATTTGTTGGTCTACTCATATTTTTGTTATGACGTCATTATCATTTTTGTAAAATGGCAATAACCTATTTTGATAATACCTTGAAAACTAACGCATTTTTTTGTTTATGGACGTCATATTTTTTCTTTATTTCTTCTCATGTTACATAACCCTGTAAATAAAAGAGATTTCATTCATAATAATGTGATTTATAATGATGACATCATCAATAATATGAGTAGAACAACAAATGCGCATCTGAAAAAGATAATCGACGTGTCTGAGGTTTTTCCCAATGGCCATAATATCAAGTTTGTTATGAACTTGTCCCAACCTTCACGTGCTCACTTTATATAGAGAGTGATATGGTGATCGATTTTTTTCTAATTTGTGAGATCTATAACGGAAAAATCTGGAAACTATGAAGTAATAGTTATGTATTCATTTTTCTCTACTTTAATTTCTGGATATTAGTTACAATTCAACACGTCAACTACCGCAGTATAGAAAATTTCTTCTTCTTATTATTATCAAGGATTATGATTGATACTATCGTACTGTACCAGGAAATATAAGTCATATGTGGACAAAAAAATTTTTGATTCTATTTTACATTTTTCTGATGGCACGACATAATGTGTCTCGAGGCCCTAGCATATGTTGTTTGTAGTATCGGGCCGTGAGGCTGTACCTTCAAACGCCCTTGTTTATTTCCTTACAAATTCAGGAATCCTGCATGATACGATGAGATGCAGGATCAATATGTAAAAGAAGGTTAGACACTGGTACAAGAAGAAGTAACAAACGTAGCACAGCGTAAAACCCCGAGTTATATCGGGTGGTCCATCCAAGACAAGGATCATCATTTTAAAGGTCATTCAATTCTGACACTAGCTGTGCAAAGTTTTTTCAATTCCAACAAGACGTTTTTAGAGATATTCGAGTTCAAAGGGTATGTTTTCCAATTATGAGCAAATGAATGTATGAAATGAATTATTGAATGGTTATCCACAACAAATGTTAAAAATTACCTCCATTGACTTCCAGACAGTGGTAGAGTCTATTTTCAAATTCCTCATCCACATTTGAACATGTTCCTCTAGTTATTGCCTGGCTTTCAATGCCTATTCTTCTTTCCAAATCATCCAGATCAGTAGGTCCCGTTCCATAAATAATGAATTTCAAATGATCCCAAGGAAACAAATCATTGGGTGCCATATCGGGTGAGCATGGTGGCTATTTTATTGGTTCTCTACTACCTATCTCTTTGTTTGGGAAATATTGGGGTAGCCATTCTCTCATCTGTAATACGTAATGAGGTGGCGGCGCACTATCTTATTGAGAATAAATATTATTTGCCAATAGATTTCGATCAACATCATCATCGAGGTCCGTGACAGAATCCCAAAAGCTTCCGAATAAATGCATAGGTCGTGAAGTACCTAAAAAAAGGCCAGCATGCTCGCCGGACATGGCACCCAATAATTTTTCTCTTTGGGGCCAGCACGCTCGCCAGACTTGGTATCCAACGATTTATTTATCTGTGGTAATTTGGAAACCTCCGATGCGAAACCTACTGACCTGAACGATGTGGAAACAAGATTAAGAATTGTATGCTACACAATAATATATTCAAATGTGAAAGAGAAATTTGAGAATAGAACTAACCATTGTCTGGGGGTCCATGAAGGTCATTTTGATCATTTGTGGTGGATACCTATTCAATAATCCATTCCGTACATTAATTTATTGATCAATAAACACATACCATTTGAACTCGAATATCTCGAGAACGCCTTGTTGGAAATAAAAAACTTTGCACTGCTAGTGTCAGAATCAAACTACCTTTGCAATGATGTATAACATAGCCCTCATTTCTTATTAAAATTATTGAGGGGGTTACTCTGCGGAGTAGAGGGTTGAAGTATGTATTATCTTTTTTGCGGCAAACGGTGTCCTCCAAATTAAAATCGACGTGTTTCGTAATTTTTTTGTAAAGATATTTTTTTGTGAGTTATCGAGGGTGAATAGTCTTGAATGGATCACCCGGTACCTACCAATGTAGTGCTTGTCAAAAAATATTAATTTATTCAGTTTCCACTTTTGGTCATAAGAAATTAATATTCATTTATTGAACCTATGTTCGGGCCTAATTTACAGAAAATGTTGGAAAAAAAATTAACAGTACATTTTATCCTGGGGTTTCGTGAATTTGGGTCTCCCGCACCACGAAGATTGAGATCCCAGGAAATATTGATGGGTTGACTGATGAAGCCTCAATGGTTAAAATAGTAAGGCACACCAGGTGCCTTGTGGCAATCAACGTGTTAACGACCTCGAAAGAAAAAAATTCTCCAATATTTTCCATCCCTTAGTGTTCGCAGTAATTATTACTATCCTTCTAGTGCTTCTCAATAAAAAAAACAATGTTTTGCGATTTATGCAATTTTTTTTTCAGAGAATAGAAGATAGTGAGCTGGAATTATACCTTCCGAAAATGGTGGATCATGCTGTATTCGTCCAGCTGACGCAAACGCAAATAGACTTCTACAATCATTTCTCCGAACTAGTGAAACGTAAACCGGAGAATAAAAATACCAAAGGATTCTTAAGCGATTTCCAGATATTCCAGTACATCTGTACTCATCCTCAGCTACTCGCCGTGATGGATAAACTTAATAAAAAGAAGATAAAGGAAAGGGATTTGATTACGAATGAAGACGAGCCGGCTATTTGCACTATAGAAGGCTGGTGGAAAGACAAACTTCCGGTTGACAGTGAAAGCAACATCGATTACGGAAATAAGTTGGTTGTTATGAAGTCTATTATAGAAGAATGTGAAGAAATTGGTGATAAAGTGTAAGTGAACAAAATTTACCATTGTTAAGTTTATTACGATTGTATTTTAGCCATCGATTATTAAAGACCGCTAGTTGTGGATGGTATATGTTATGATGAATTGGTAATTTTCAATAGTTCATTATCATTTGATAAAACTGATGAGTGTAAAAAGTGTATCATAAGTACTGGTTGTTCTTTAATAATTGTCATTGTTGAATATTGTAAAAACGTGGCAAGAATGAGAGGTAGGTTTAAAACCTACCTCACTAGATAGGTAATAATTATCAATGTTAAAAGTAACGTATCTTAATTTGCAGCTCATTAACAATCCATATTGAAATAACTCAGTACCAATATTGATTTCAAATACAGCCTATACGGATGTATCATAATTAATTGGAAGTATTTTAACCATATAATCCTGAGCTCAAGAACTCAATTCTTCTTCCTCGCCTATCAGGTACTTCTGCTGGCAAGAATCGCCTGTCATTGCACACGTATGCTCTAATTACCTTAGTTAAACATGTATGTGAATTTCAATCTTACAGAGCGAAGTTTATTTTCAGTCCTCTTTTGCGCACTTTAGGACTCGCCTGGCACCAACTTCTGCTCATCAGAATCGCCTGTCAATTTGTTTCTATATTCTGCAATACCTAAATAGGATCATAATAAAATTACAAGTTTAAAGCGCAAAGTTCATTTTTTGAATTATTCTTACACTTTGAAATATATGGGGGATGGTGACGTGCAAGGGTGAGGCCTGCCAGGTCATGGTTTTCGTACTTAACAGCCTTCGATCCATCACTTTACAAATTTGTAGCCTTACAGACACACCGTTATATAAAAGGTTCACGAGCTCTCTAGCTGATTGGAGAATCGAATAATTGTGATGAAACGGCAATTCTGCCAGTGGCGTAGAATTTGGAAAGGATCAACCAGTCACTTGCCCCTATCGTATGTCTCTGGTAGGTAGTACCCAGAAACCTTCATTCAACAAAATTTAGTAGGGCGTAAAGTACCTACATTTCCTGCCGAATATGAAAATGATACGTCGACTAGTTTCGAAGTACTGGACACAAACAATTACGAAATTTTTGGAAAAAAAAACACCCTGTAATTCAAGTAGGAGACCCATTTTATCTGGGTGATTTGGGTTGAATTTTCATATTTTGAGCTCAGGATTCTATAGTTTAAATATTTCCAATTAATGATGATGCACCCTGTATATTGCAATATGTTCCAAGGTTGATGCTAATTGTGATTTTGAAATTGAATTATCTTTCCAATCGTCAAAATAGACGATGACGTCATAATTGCTTATCCCATGTGACCATTCTGATATATAAAACTGCATCAACCAACCTGTTTTTTTTTTGCATAATGTTCTCATTCCTAATACTGTGAGTGTACAGATTATTCCATATTGGTTGAAATCGCGAGGTTTCTCGGTTGTTCTCAACATGGCCTAATCAGATTTTGCATTAAGGTTTCCATATATGGGTGACGCAGGCAAGTAGATCTCCAGTTGATCTTCGATGGCGAAAGCCATATGGTCTGTCATTGATGATTCCTGAGCTTTCTATATGTTTGATAAGCTCGATGTTGATGGCTCTCTCCATCCCTTTGGAGAAGGATAATAACAGGGCAATAGGCCTATATTGGGCAGTAGTAATTTTCCGCACGCGATGCAGTTGCACGAACTACGCGGAGCGGAGTTTGGGCAATCAAGGGCGGAAAAAAGTTTTTGTTTTGTGCGGTAAAGTAACTTTTCCGCACGATATTTTCATGCTCTAAAAAATAATGAAAAAGATTTTTTTCATCGATATAATAGGAAACTTATTTGAAAAACATTTAAATAACAATAACTGAAACATTAACGATGGTAGATATTGAAATTGAAAGTGCAGTTTGTGTTTGTTGCATGCTGTAATATAGCAGATGCACAACATCTTGAAGGGCGTGTCATTTCTTATTTGAATTTGATTGGTTAGTGTTCGGCTCACTACAGAAATGCCTTGATTAGTTTTTGATGAAAATTACTAGTGCAGTGAATGGAGGAAGGTAGATTGGGCTGAAATGCTTATTCGTTGACTACTACTACTGTCAGTTTATAGCGACTGTCGCTATGGGTACGTTCTGGTGCCAAAAGTTATCACCACATGTCTCCTGGTATTTCCTTCGAAATCGTGCGGAAAAGTAAAAATAATGCGGAAAAGTAAAATCGTACGGAAAAGTACAACTTTCAAAACGAAAAATTATACGGAAAAGTTACTATTCCGCACACTCGTAAGAAAAATAATTTTTTTTTATGTTTTGGTTCCCACGAAAAGGGATATCCTGTAATGTTCAGAGAACATCTTGAGAATCAAATGAAATAAGGTAGGAATTAGTTTTCTTCTTGAATTTCTGGAGGTTATATGCCTCGGGGAACACCTCCCTTGGCAATGTGTTCCAGAGCATCGCTGTTTGTTGGATGAACGAGTCTTTGGAAAGAGATGTTCTGCAGGTCTCCAAAGTGACCACGAAGGGGTGCGAAGCCTCAACTCGACGGTTTAATCTCGCGGGGACTGCCAAGGAAGGAACAATTGTTAATATTTCAGAAGAGCATCGTCCATGAAAATATCTATGAAATAGAGCCAGATCGCCAACTTTTCTACGGTGTTCCAGAGAAGTGAGTGAGTTTGTGAGCGAGGCATCACCCACGAGACGAATTACCCTTTTTTGGACAGAATCCACTGGGTGCTGCACTCCAAATATGGGAACAGTATTCCAGGACAGGTCGGATCTGTGCCTTATAGATCATAAGCAGCTGACTGGAAGTGAAATAGCTCCTGGCCTGAAACAGAAAACCAAGTTTTTGGGATGCACTTTTCGCAATTGATCTCACGTGATTTTCCCAAGATAATGATACCAAGCATCGAAATGGATGTCTTCAAAGGTATGGTTGCTCCTGACAAGCTTATGTTGGGCACAGTGAGATCGGCTTTTCTAGAGAAGAGACATGCTTGTAATTTGTTTGCAATGAAATCTACCAAGTTATTGGATCCCCATTCGAGAATTGTTGCCAAGTCCATATTATTGTTGTCAACATTTCTTCCCCGTTCATTTCTGATTTGCCTGGCTGGTATTGGAGCCCTGGAAGAGAAGGCGGTATGGAGGGTACAATTATCCGCGAAGCTGTCTACTGGACATGAAGTTGTTTCCAACAAATCGTTGATATGGAGTAGAAATAGTGTTGGTGCTAGAATTGATCCTTGCGGAACACCAGAATTTATGATAAGAGAGTCAGATGAAACTCCGTCGACCACTACATGGAGAGACCTGTTTGAGAGAAAACTAGCTAGCTAGAGAACATAGCTGGGGAGGCAAGCCATAAGATGGAAGCTTGGCGAGGAGTCCGTGGTGCCAGACTTGATCGAATGCCTTGGAGATATCAAGTGCCACGGCTAAGGTTTCACCTTATTTTCCAATAGATTGCTGCCATATATGTGAGACGTAAGCAAGCAGGTCATCAGTTGATTTCTGATGACGGAAGCCATATTGCCTATCATTGATAATAACTGAATGTTCCAGGTATTTCATGAGCTCGATGTTGATAGCTTTCTCCATGATCTTTGGAATAATAGATAGCAGTGCGCTCGGTCTGTAGTTGCTAGGTAGGGTCTTTTTCCCTATTTTAGGAACTGGTTGTACTCTTGCAATTTTCCAGTTGGACGGGAATATCCCCAATTTGTAAGAGTAGTTGATCAACTTGCAGAGAACAGGTGTTAGTTCGGGAGCACATTTCTTGAGAACAATCGGTGGGATTCTGTCGGAGCCACAATTTTGAACTGAAATTTCCCTTATAGTACTTGCAGAGAATCGGTGTCTATTCTGGTGCACACTTTTCGAAAATAATGTGTAAAATTCCATCAGGACCGTCAGCCTCATTCGTTTTGAGACCACGCAGAATGCCTCTGATAGTGCGTTGACGGAAGATGATTTCGGGTGTTCGACTCTCAACGGGTCGAATATCTGGCGGCACATCTCCTGGGGAATCTAATGTGGAGTTTGCCGTGAACATATCTGCAAAATGTTTGCATTCTCTTGCGATGTTATTGCTAATATGCCGTCGGCTTTGGCGAGTGGTGGAAATGAGCTGTTAGTTCAATTCCTTCCGACTGCTTTAGCGAGGGACCAAAACGAACGGGATCTTATTTTCGCATTGTATGTTTCTTTTGATGCATCTATTGTTTCGATGCAGTTATTCCTGGCTCCAACGTATTCTTCTCTAGTCATGAGAATAGGGTTTTTGCGCCAGCGATGGTAGGCTGTTTGTTTCAAGGCAACAGCTCTAGAACAGTTATTGTTGAACCAGGGTTGAATGAGGTATGTATGTGTCCATCCCAAGAATGATGATCTCTGATATTTCCGCAGCACACTGTGAAGGATCCTTAGAGTCAAAGCATATTCTATGCCGAGGAAACTCGGAGAAAGACATGCGAAGACCGATACAGTATCCTGAATTATAATTCCATAGAAGTTCTGGGAGTAGCAGAGCAGTTGATGGAATGAAAAATGGGCAGGTTGTGGAGATGAGTGTGTCGTCAAGAGTTGCCAAGTGGAACTCGTACATCTGAGGAGTAAGGTGCTGAATTATTGGTCAGGAATAAGTCAAGTATTGAAGAGGAATATTCTCAGATATATTATGAACATGAGAAAAAGATACATATAGAGAAATACATTGACAATATTCGCATTCTCTATCTGATGAATATCCATTCTTTCTCGGTATACTATTTTCCTGGCTATATGTCATGACGTACATTGTATTATAATCTAACGAACACACAATAAGAATTTGAAAATAAAATCTTCTAAAATTGAGAATTGGCATTCTCTTTCAGATAGAAATATACCAGGTGAGTGAAATTCGAGTAGATGCATGGGGATCCTTGACGGTAAGATCTACAGGTAGGGTTAAATGAAGGCATAGTTGCGTAAAATTCTGCCTAGCAAATTGCCGTTCCGAAATTTGAAAATTCCATAATACTTCCGAATATTTTTGAAAAAAAAACGAATATTCGAATAGATGTAACAAAACGAATTACACATTCTCATTGCAACGTTTCCTGATCTACAATGTGGTTTTATCAGATTTTCAAACCGACGTTTCGTCTTTGTTTTTCAAATATATACGGCCCTGGATTCTTTGGCATTCTCCATAAGAACTCATCATCTGTTAGAACACCTTTTTCGAATAAGTGCGATACACCGTTGATTTTGGAAGATCGAGAGATATTAAAATCCATAATAAAAAATCCAGGACCGTATTTAATAAACAAAGTTGATGAAAACAACTCAAAGACGAAACGTCGGTGATAAGACCATCATGTAGAGCAGAAAAAGTAGCAACGAGAATGTGTAATTTGTTCTGCTACATTCGTTCAAATGGAGTCAGAAAAAAATGAAAATGAAATCGTGAATATTCCGTTTTTACAAAAATCTTCGGAAGAATTTGAAGTTTTTCAAATTTCAAATCGGAATTTTGTCATTCTACTCGAATTTCAATTATTCGGTATATGTATTCAATATCATTCGGAATATTCAACAGAAAACAACTACTTTCCTGGCTATTTGCCACGTCGGACATTGGTATGAAAATATAACTTACCAATATTTGTGTCTAGTGGCCAGCGTAGCCTCGTGGTTGAAGCGTCAGTATTCTATCCACGTTGGGTTGCCGGTAGGTGGGTTCGATTCCTACCACGACCGCATAAATTATTCTAATGGTCTAAGAAAGTGTTTGCTTGCACAAGTCTCTTAAAGACTTTTGAGGGTTGCTCGTAAGGGGGCAACCGAATGATCGATAAGAACAATTTTAGAACAATATATTCAGTGTCGAAATGAAAATTAATTTAATTAATTTTCTGTGGAATATACCAAGAAAAATTAATATGTTTAATCAGATAGAGAATGCTTATTCTCAATATATTTATATGTATCATTTTTTTTCATGTCCATAATATATCTGAGAATATTCTTTTTCAATACTTTCACACCCAATCAAAGAGTTCAAATTCGAACGATGGAAAGTTATTTTTACAGACCTCTTTTCTTTCCACGTCCTTTATGATGGATATCAATTTATCATACATCTAAACAAAAGTCAAGTATGTTGGCTGAATGGTTATTGATATCACGAATTCGTGTGAGTTTCTTGATAAGCTGTTCTAAGCCCTGAGTGATGGTGAAAGATTCGGCTTGTCGCCCAGCTTCATGGGCTTTGTTTGAGTGTACGAGGCAAATAGTGTTGTGTACATTGAAATCGCCACTTATAATAATTTCTGCTGCTACGTATAGCAAAGAATTCTGCCCAGAATCAGGTAGTGTACTCAATTATATTACGTGGTATGGTTTTGGAGATACGACATGAACGTATGTATTTTTTAATGAAACACCCTGTATTTCATTATTTGGTTGCATACGATTTTTTTTTCTTTCAAAATGATGTATGATACTGTACACATAGGATTTTCAAAAATGCTGAGACCACTAAAACTTGACATTATGATAAATTCTTGCTAGTGGGCCATGTATTTTTCAAGTTTTACTCTAAGGATTTTTATGTGTGATCCATGATGTAGGTCATGGGAGTCATGCATGATACAAATTCTATGATGAAAATTACAAAATAAAAAAATCTAGAGAAATGAATTTGCCACATGCATCAATTGATTTTTCATTCATATGAAAAATACACGACCTATCTCCGTAGCTTCAAAACAAATTGAGTATACTACAAAATTTTGTGCAGAAAGTTTTTTTAGTCGTAATTCTCAAGAACTTGGTGCATACAAAAGAGCCAAAAGAGCATACATTTTTAAAATCGCCCTTTATCTTCTTGATGGAAACAGTAACCTATGCAGAATCTGATTACACCACCATGAGTTCCACAAAAAAGTAGGATAGGAACGTGAAAATTGCATGGCTCTATTTTCATAATCAATCGAGAAACCTGGCAGTACTGTAGGTACATTGTGTTTGAAATTTTTTTCTCTATTCAGATTGGTGTTTTCTCAATGTTTGGGAGAACTAGATCTCATTGAACATTTCCTGAAAACTTTCGGTACCAGAAAATGTGCTTCCTGGCAAAAAAAGGTTGATTACTACAGAATGGATGGCACAGTTTCCCCAGAAGATAGATCCTTCATCTGTGATAAGTTCAATAATCCAGACAATTCACGGATAAGGTTGTTGCTGATGTCTACCAAAGTGGGTGGTTTGGGCTTGAATTTAACTGCAGCAAATAGGGTGATCATTATGACTGTCAATTGGAACCCCTCTTATGACACCCAGAGTGTTTTCAGGGTATACAGATTTGGACAAAAGAAGGCAGTTTATGTGTACAGGCTCATCGCCTTGGTAAGTGTCGAATACTTTTAAAAAATGAAAACAGTTTCCTACTAAATAAGTAAATAACAAACCGAAATCTAATTAATTGATATTCTGAGTCGATTTTGCATTAACTTTTAATTCTAAATGTGGAAATATCGGATTTTGAGACATATTATGTTGCAGATTTGAAATAATATTTTTACTATGATGCAACAAACTTATAGATCGTTTTTCAAAAATACTGTTCTGGTTGTTACTGGTTGCAAATATTGTTCATACTACTCGAAGTGTTTGTAATTCTATCTGGGCAATTCGGGCAATCCTATCAACATCGGCATCTCAAAAGTGTGTTTCAACTTCTGGGCAGTCGGTCCTCAACCGTCTGCCCCTCATAAGAGATCACAATCTCAAACTATCAGATAGATTCTATGGATACATTTGCAATAGCGAATTAACTAACGGTATCAATATCACCTCAATGAAGGCAGACCATGTCCAACGTAGGAAGCACGGGCTAATGTACCAGGGAGCCCCTGGAATAACATCCTACCCTCCCATTTTTTCCAATAGACTGAATGCGCTCTTAAACTCCCAGAAACGGAAATTTTTCCAAGATTCGAAGGTGGTTCGGTCGGCCTGAAGATCAAATGCTCTGGTTCCGACCGAACGACCTGTGATCACACCAATACCAGTGAGCGAAGCTAGTAGTATGGCCGAGGCAGTGGATATTCACTTCGACCACGTCCGATAAACCGATACTCGCTTGAATTCAGTCAGTTAGTCCTATACCTTCCTGCCAAACCGAAGTATGAATGAGTGTCTCAGGAAAATGCTATTAGACTTGAAGTGATCTTACTTGTATGTCTGTCCATAGCCTCTATTGCCAAAATACACTCCAATCACTGAAACACACCAAATGATTCATAAAATCGAAGAAAATTAAAATTTTAACACAAGTTGTCAATACACGAACATTAAGGATTTGAGATTATCACGAAGTTGAAACGCCATAAATGTTTTTTTCAAATCGTCCAATTGAGTGACTTGTTTACTACTTCAGTTGCAAAACAAATCTTGTTTGATTTATCTATGATCTGAGCATGGCACCATCCCTATTCAAAATTGATTGGTCTGCCAAGTGGAGGAGAGAGGGATGAATTGTGGCAGTTAGGATATGATGAAAATGTATTCCCCACGGGTTCGAAGTGAACGTATTCTAGAGTTTTGTTGAATAAACATCATCCTGTGGCCACCCTGTTTGAAGCATTCTATGCGAAAATAACGACAACATTTCTTCCTACATAGGATACCATGGAAGAAAAAGTTTATCAGCGTGGAGTTACCAAACTTGCCATTGCTCATCGAGTGGTGGACAAACACCAAATCACGAATCACTACCAGCGAGAGAATTTGCAAGAACTGTACACTTGCAAGCCAAACGCTGATAACGAAAGGCCTACCCCTAATGTTCCTGAAGATCAGATTTTAGCGATATTGATACTGAGGCTGCCTTTCATCTTCAAATATCACGAGCACAAAGCTCTGTTGGCGAACAGGCCCGAAATCAATCTCAGCAAAGAAGAATTGGCTGCTGCTTGGCAAGCATGGAAGGACTTTGAGAATACACCAAGTGAGTATAGACAGAGATACACATAATATACAATAATTTGTAGAAACGACTGTATGATAACAACTTGTTTCATCGTTCTGTGTAGTCGTTAAACATATTAGTACAGCGTCTTGATGGATTTGATGATTTTGTATACAGTGTCTTTCAAAAGTATCGGAACGGTCTCATATTTCAGGAACGGCTTGAGAAAAATTCACGAAATTTTCTACAGGGTGATTATTGATGATGTCCGATTCAATGGTGGCATCGGCAATGTTGCCAAGTTTACAGTTTTTCAGATATTAAGAGTAACTTTATTTTTTCAAATAGAATACCCCAATTATTTTTATTGCAATTAATTAAGCGCCCCCTAATTACTTGAGTCCCTGAATATCAGATTCGTTATTAACGTGATTTTCGAAATATGACAACATAGCATTTTCGTTAAAAAGTTCTGGAACGGTCCCATATTTCAGAAACGGCTCAGAGAAAATTTATGAAAACTTCGACAGGATGGTTGTTGATGATGTCCGATTCAATGGTGATATCGGCAATGTTGCCAAATCAACAGTTTTTCAGATATTGAAGGTAATTACATTTTTTCAAATGGAAAACCCTATTTGTTTTCGAAGCAATCAATTCAGCTCCCCCTCATTACTTATGTCTTCAAATATCAAATTTTAAATGAATGTGGTTTTTTAAATATGAGAACATGCTCCGTTGAAATATCCGCGAACGCTCCAATATTTTCAAAAGGGCACGCGAAAATATGAAATTTTATTGCGATCAATTCGCAACTCGCTCCTTTAATGCAGTCTTTTCAATCCATGTCACTCACATAGTTATTAGCGTTTAGTTTTTGTAATCAGTAACAAGCACTTCAATAGCTATTTGTGTATTTAGAGCACAAAGTGATGCATTGCCTCTCGACAAAGAAGCGGAACGCGGTAATCTGGAGAGCGGCAATTACACTTTATGCTCGAATTAAACACAATACTTTTAAGACAAATGCAGATCTCAGATTCAGAAAAAAAACTCGATACTTTATTATTCATACATTATTACCTAATAATATTTATTTCATTTATTATTTACTAGATTGACTGAATGTATTGCAATGAAAACAAATATGGTATTCCATTTGAAAAAATTGAGTGACCCTAAATATCTGAAAAACTGTTGATTTGGCAACATTGCCGATATCACCATTGAATCGGGCATCATCAGAAACCATCTTGTATAAAATTTCATAAATTTTCCTTGAACCGTATCGAAAATATTAGAAGGTTCCCAGACTTTTGAACGAAAATGCCATGTTGTCATATTTCGAAAACCACTTCAATTTGAAATCTGATATTTGGAGACATAAGTAATGAGGCGTCGCTGAATGTATTGCAATGAAAACATATAGGGTATTCCATTTGAAAAAATTGAGTTACCCTAAATATCTGAAAATCTGTCGATTTGGCAACATTGCCGATATCACCATTGAATTGCAATAAAAATAAATGGGGTATTCCATTTGAAAAAATAAAGTTACTCCTAATATCTGAAAAACTGTGAACTTGGCAACATTGCCGATGCCACCATTGAATCGGACATCATCAATAATCACCCTGTAGAAAATTTCGTGAATTTTTTACATGCCGTTCCTGAAATATTAGACCGTTCCGATACTTTTGAAAGACACTGTATACAGCGTGTGTGTAGTACTTTGGTCAATCAATCGTCAATAAAATCGATGCAATACTTTAGTAGTAGATTCTACGACCGAAAACAGGATGATTTCGCCCTCAATGTTGCCTATATGTTCCGCTTAAATTTAATTCTTGGACAAAATACGTTGAAAATGAAATGAAATAATCTCTGGTAGAAGTCCAACATCTCTCGAAGTGGAGTGTAGTTGTAATAACTAAATAAAACTGAAAATGAATAAAGTTACACATGTAGTATCAGAACATTATTGAAAATCATTTTGTTTTTCAAATTTGAAAGGGAAAACATTTTTATAAAACCCCTGCATTATGGTTTATGGTGGGTCAAAAACGAGCCGGTCCCATAGCATTCGGGCCACCGGGATGATAAAGACAAATTTTTAAAAAAAATTGAAATTGACTGCCATTTTGACCACTTGAGTAGCAATCAGCAAGAAGTGGAGGACGGAAATCCCATGACTTAACAGACACTGACAGGTATGTTGATAGATGTCAATGTAGCACAGACAACTATCAGTCTCTTGTCAGTATTGGCGTATTGTGACGTTTCACATAAATTTTCATTAGTCGTCAGTGTGAATCAAAGTTTGAAATCAGGAGAACAATTTTGAAACCAAAGATTTTTGTTGTATTTTCCGTTTTTTGTGTGTTTTCGGTAGGCGAAAAACAGTTGTGTGTCACACTAGCAGAAACCGCTTTAGCAGCCCTTAGCTACCAGCCGCGGGCTGCTATTGGTCATTTTCTGCCCTTGTGACACAATATACTATTTCCTCCCGTGGGAGTCAATTGACAACTTTGCTTTCTGAAAAGTAGATATACTTTATTTATCCACTCACTGAATCGAAAAGTAGTATGGATATTTTAACTTTCCCAATCGTTTTCGCAAATTTGAAAGTTTTCTAATCGTTTTTCTTCAATCATGAAAACAAATGAATCCTTCCTCTTACTGACTTACTGAGAAGAACTAAAAAAAATTGAAAGAAGGCGTATTTCGAAGCCCGCTAGACTTAGGAGAGGCTGATGAAGATCTTGAAATAATATAATGAATCTGATAGCCGTTCACGATGCGAAGGTGTCGGTTCGAATCGGGCTTTGCTTAGCATTTTTCTTGAAAATGTTTGATTCATGGTTGCAATCCTGGTAGCACCTTGGTGTCCTAGAAGTGGTTCGGATTCCACTATAAGCTGTATGCCCCGCTCTTCCTAACTCCGCACAAGTTTCGACTTCTGGGGAGTTGGTTCCCAACTTTGAAGTAATGATATACAATTTTTTAAACAAATTAGCGAAATTGATGACTGGAAGTGGCGCCTTCTTGAAAATATTGTCGTTGAACAGGACCCAATCGATAACCTCTGTTTACAAATTTACAGATCAGTGTTATTTTCAGAACTCCAAGCACGTCTAATGTGTGGCTGATACGAAACTGCCTGTATTATAAGATCCGTGCAATCCAATTAATCAGTGTCATCATTATTATAAAACAAATAACAATTTCGTTTTTGAATTCCGATAATCTCATAATTTTTGAAAAAGAAGAGGAATTTTTCGATAAGCTTTAATTGAATGAGTTGTATTTAATAAGATTATTTCGAGAATAAATTGATAACTGGCAAACTTTGAGTTACGCATATTGAATGCCCATTCCGTGGGGATATTCGCAAGCATTTTCTATCAGTTGGTGATTTCGTTAATTGCAAAATTCTGTGAATTGAGTCCAGATATATTTTGCAGCTTTAGATCTTCAATTTCATTTCTTATTTCTTCGAGATTTTAATCACCGAAACGGCTTTTTTCATTCATTTTGTGTGTTCATGGACTTTTATTTTCGAATCAACAAACTATGTTGTTTTCCTGCCACAGCACTCTCAAATCAAATAAGCTCTATTAATCCCGCTTCATCGCGTTCCATCAACCATACACCATCAACAGAACGCTTATGCGCAACTAACAAAACAATACTCAGCATTGTGGATATGAGAGATATATTCGATAGGTTTGCGGTTGCGGTATAGTCGAGGCGTCGACTATGCGTCGACGGTCACAGACAGCATTATTTTTATTTATGGTCGTTTCGTTGTGCAAGTAAGGTTATATCAAAATTATGATTCATTAAATATACAGAATCCAACCAATATTGTTGGGTCTATTAAATTTGAAATAATAGTGTGTACCTACCAAGTTTTTGGCAGAAGTTTGAAGTTTTAATTGTGATTTTGTATTTATATTATGACAGCATCGACAGTCTTCTGGCAAGTTGTTATTATTTCTTGTTTTATAAATTGCCAATGAGGAAGCGGAATACAAAATTGAAAACACAGCCATGTAGGTATCCAGTAGTCAATCAACTGCCGATATACAAAAACGAAAACATTATGTTTTCGATTATCAATACAGACATTTTAACCAATCAAAAACGTGTATTTTATGATGTCAAATAACAAACAATAATGGTAGATGGCGGGAGAAAAACAACTACTTTCCTGGCTAATGCCATGCAGAACATTGAAATACATCCTCCCGAAATCTATGCACCGATTCGTATTAACAAATACTACTCAATGGTATAAAAACAAATATGGCGCCCTTAAGATGAAAAAAAGTTGCACAGCAATAAATCTATGATATTAATGAAGATAGATACTTCTGATAATCCCAACTTATTTGTCATGATTAATTACCTGTTTACACTTTCTTTCTCAAATAGAAATTGAATGAAAACAAATTAGTCATTTTCAATTCTTTCAAAACATTTCAGGAACGTCTAAATTTCATTCACTTCGCAAAACATATTGGATATCATTATTTGGTTTTCATTGAAGAATTTAATTTCATTATTTCGAAACCCTAACAAGTTCACTATCGCAAACAGTTTTTCCCCATAACTATGTACATTTTTAAAATAATTATTGAAATTCACGTTATTTTGTAACTTGAAAAAAGCAGAAAAATGTGTGACGTAATCTTCCGAAAAAATTCGACATATGAATCTATTCTCTATTTCTGTGCAAGAACATTTCAATCAAAGTATGAAAAAAGTTCGCCTCCTCAGAAGGTGCTCGCCCTAGACTCTAGTAAATTTTTTGGACTGAATACTTACTGCAAATAACAGATAACACAACACACAACCAAAGAATCAGAGAATAAGAGGAATATCTTTGAATATTCGCATCTTGACTAGACGAAACAAGGATTTGAAGATGAAGGTGACAGACGATATAGACGTTGGGAAGCTAGGAAGCCAATGTAGTTCGTCTTCTTTGTCTCTTCTTGTATTTCTGGAAACTCTAGGCATTACGCTGTTGCCAAGGCCACAAAATAATTTGGGTTTACAAAAAATCTGGATCATTATTAGGAATGATAGGATATTGGTACTTAGGCATCATATTGCAAGTATATAAGTATTCAATAAGTGATTATTAGGGACCAGGTATTGTCTTCTGTGAATGTGAATACTGTTATCATTGGTCATATTGAATCTCATAAGGTAATTACTATTTACAAATTTGGCAGCGTGGAAATATGTGGTCCTACTCTTTATGCTTAAGCCAGAATTCAGATAACGGTGACTTTTGGTTCGGTTCATGACGTCATCGAAGCTGGTGCCAAATTTCATTATTGAAAAAAATTTATATGCGATGTTTTTAAATGACGAATGATTGCATCAAATACTATTTATACACGGAATGCTCAACATGAAATAGGTTTGTGGCGTAAATTTGACTAGATTTACAACTCCATTCTCTCATTTCACAAAATTTCAAAGTTCTTCCACGTTCTTTGCATTACATTTTTTTCGTGTTGCCAATAAACGAATATTTACTTCGATATTCCGTATTAGTTCTCACTTGGCCACATTCTGCATAAAATGGTCTATTGAAGATTTTTGAACTACGAAACTTGTCTAATTTGATCAAATTTCTATCTCTAACCGTTTAGGAAATAGCAATCGGCGGGACCCTGTAAAAATAATGTCACATGTTTCAAATTCAAATATGTACAATCAAGTATCGGTTTTCAATCAAAATTGTATCACAAATTATATCAACCAACATTCTTTCACGCTATCTTTGTCTATTGTAAATAAATTATTCCAGGAATTAATAAGTATTGGTCTATCTATATATTCATCTTTTCTAGAACCTGCTCCACCGCCTCCAAAATCATCGGTACCAACAACACCACAAAAACCTGTTCAGACAGGACCGGATTTCAACAATGCATATAGTTTGGGTCGGAATAATATCAACATTTTAGCCAATCTCAACAGGAACCTGCCATTGTTGCCGACAGCTGAACAAGTGAAGCAGTACTATGTTCCCGTTGTACAGGCAAATGGGTAAGTGGATCTTTACTTTTGAACAACACTTTTTTATGCTTTGTACTGTAAATAAGGGTTCACGTAGAAAGGGACTGTCAAATTTGGAAAGGATCACTTTTGTATTTCCTTAGATATGGAATAACATTCTGTATACAAGTTATCGTGCATTTCAGGAGGTGCTTTTGTTGAGGAAAGCCATTATTTTGCGAATCCCTATATCACCTCTCAAAATCAGTGCACAAAATCTCAACCATCCTGAGTCAAAGTAAGACCGACAAACTTTTCAGATACCTCACATTTCGAAGTAGAAAGTTAATCTCAATGTATGTTCTAAATTAAATCCGGACTGAAACGATGAAAGTACGAAAAAAAATCATGGTCAAGTTTTTATCTCGAAAATGCCTTCATGAAAAGAATCGAAACTTGGTATAGTAGTCTAGGTCAATCAATGTTATAACTTGTTATAGTTGTCAATTCCAATCTTCTTAAATCAATAGCATAGTTGTTAAGGTCATATGTGAACACATTTTCCTTCTTATTTACTTTCGACAGGTGAATGGATGAATCAGTTCTTGACATCAGTTAGTGTTCAAGTGAATATCTATGATTTGATTCTATAAAATTTCATAGGACCATTTGTTTTCGTATGTATATTATTTCGCGATGAGAAAGCACCTTAATCCATTTATCAGAAACGCTAACTGTGAGTCAAAATAGTGATAACTTCATCTATATTTTATTAATTAGATATCACTGGGCCTTTTTCAGTGGAAAATTCAATCATTATATCGAAGTACTAACCCTAACTAGTCGACTGTCGTGAACCGTTTTTGCCTCAGAGCTCCATACATTTTTTAAATAAATATTGAAATTCATATTCATAACATGAAAAATCATATAAGATTCGACTTATATTGATTGTATATAATTGTTATATTGAGGTATTGCATATTAAATTTCTGTAAGACTTTTTTAACAAAATGAGAAATTGATTTTCTAGACTGATTACTTACTGCATATAACAGAATATTCGCATCTTGACTAGATGTTAGGGAAAAACGTGGTGAGGCATATAAAAAATCGGTTTGGTTAGTGGTAAAACAGTGTAGTGTATTATCATGCCAAAGGTTCCAGTCTTCGATATATTGACTCTTATTGCAAGTATATAAGTATTCAATAAGTGATTATTAGGGACCAGGTCGAACTATTGTCATCTGTGATTATGAATACCTACTGTTGTCATTGATTGAATCTCATAAGGTAATTACTGGTTACAAATTTGGCAGCATCGGAATATGTGGTCCTTCCTACTTTTTATGCGAAAGCCAGAATTCACAAAACGATGACTTTCGGTTCGGTTCATGACGTCATCGAAGCTGGCACTTTTCGAAGGTGCCAAATTTCATTATTGACAAAAATATGTTTGAGGTGATTTAAAATAACGAATGATTACATCAAAATAGGTATATGGCGTTAATTTGACTAGTTTGTACAACCCCATTATTTCGATTGTAGAAACAATAGCATCTTTCATTCGGATCAAAAGTGACTCTGTCCGACTCGCAAAATATTGCTTGTCAAACAGAATACCAATGAAAAATCAAAGAGATCAGAAATACAGTAGATCATAATTATGTCAGTCATTCAAACAGCAAGACTCGACAATCAACGTTCTGCACTATTTACTATTCATAATTATAAACAAGGCTTATGACAGTGTATGGCATACAGGAATCCTATTTAAATTATATCCATCGAACATTCCTAAATTCCTACTCTCAGTCCCAAACATTTGTTTTCAAAAACCAGAACCCTAAAAGTGAGAGTCTAAAATACCTATCTCGCCAATTTTTACCCAACAAGGTGTCCGTCAGAGTTATCTTCATCACCTTTCCTATAAAACCTATAGTGGTCACGATATTTTACAACTTCAATCAAGATAACAATAATAATAAATTGCATTCTTCGGTATGCAGACGACACAGCTCTAATATCGCATAATAGATCATTGAAGTCAGCAACAGAAAAGTTACAGTAACTGATGAACAACACCAGCACTTGGTTGGAGATTGAAACCTATTCTAAAAAAAAATCAGTCCGTGATATTTCAACACAGATAATGTATCTACAATCAGAATCAATAATCACGTTCAGAAGCATAAATTCAGCAAAGTAGTTACCTTGGAATTGAAATGGATAGGAAACTCAATTTCAACAATCACGCTAAATCAAAAATCAATACATAACAAGAGATGAGTAAACGCTTCCTATCAATGAGATACAAGAACAACGGCATTGAGACCTCATCAAAAATATACATAATCTGCCTTCTGATATTAGAATACGCTCATGTCCTCATGTCATATACCTGAAACCTAGAAAATTGAAAAAAGGCCAGGCACTCTTCAAGCACCTTGAAAGAACCATTTGGGGAGCAGTCACAGGCCTACGGGAAGATAAAATGTATCAAAATCTTTAATGACTCGACCTCGGTGGATGGCCGTTATTTGGTTCAACCAATGAAGAACCTTTATTATTATTAGTTCTCATTTTTATTATTAGTATACTTGGGAACTAAGTAGAGGTCATTGATTGTCAAAATGCCATCATTTTATAATGATAATTTCTTACAACATATCAGAAATATTTTTCAGCCAGCTACATTGTTTTATATTGAGAGAATCGACAAGAAATCGTCATTTAGGTTAGGTATCTCAGGCAGGATGCATTTTCTAATATACATAGGAGGTAATTTTTCTCGAAATGCAGATTAAAATCTGAGCACGAAGTTTGTTGGTCTCATTCTGATTCAGCCTGTAAATAAATTTGAATGTCCGGGAATACGGGTTATAGTAGGACGTCAGAGTATTATGCTACATACTGGATGTCACACCTAATATGATCCACCATGAATAACTCCTGGAAGAATAATTCATTGAGAGAGTGCTCATAGCCGTCAAATTTCATTAGTAGTGGGACATGTTCAATGCGAATTGTTTCTTGAAGAAAGCAATTCTTCTACATTATTTGTTTAATAGTTAATTAGTCTGGATCCTTTCAGATGCGTTACCTGGTATATTTATCAATGAATATCTCACAATTGAAACGTCACACTCATTCGGCTGTTGTTAGAATTCTAATACGGATATTGAATATGGTTTATAATCATATTCTTTGAGGTACCATGATATAATCAAGAAAACTACATATTTGTGTTTATAACTCGTCCATACTCTATTGATACTTTTAATATGATGATGATCATAAGACATCCATAATTGAGTGGAACGGGATATAATGTTTATCATTTTTCTTCAGGGTATACCGTCCACAAGTTATGAATTTTCCAAATCCATATTCCAATCAATACAATCCAAATGGAAATCAATTGAACATATCAACAAAAGATCCTCTTTACTTGCCAACCTCCGTTAACCAGGCAGATAAGTTATCCAGTAGAATGTGGTCGTACACATCTGATCAAAATAAGAACATCAGGCTACCTGCTCCTCCATTGACCAGATTGCCAGCTCCGAAACAAACAACTGTCAGTGTTGCCTCTTCCGTTTCCAAGGATAATGCAGAAACGATTCAAGTGGGAACTCCCAGAACTTCCACGATATCTGTTGCTAATAGGCTACCTGCTCCTCCTTTAACCAGATTGCCAGCTCCGAAACAAACAACTGTCAGTGTTGCTTCTTCCGTTTCCAAGGATAATGCAGAAACGATTCAAGTGGTAACTCCCAGAACTTCCACGATATCTGTTGCTAATAGGCTATCTGCTCCTTCATTAATGCCGGTCGCTGCCAATAGCTCTGGGAGCGCAGTGAACAGAACTGATCCAATTGTGATAGACACAAGTAAACCAAGCGCAGTGGTCTTGTGGCCTCCAACCACCATAACGAATGGATATAGATTACAACCAAACCGGTTCATTCCTGTGAATACAGGTGAGTAAAGTCATGAAGAAGTAATGTAGTGTTTTTCCTGGTACTGGCCAGTAGGACTACTTGAGTATTTCATATTGGTGTTCAGAAACTAGACAAGCAGTAACAGTCAGACATAACAACGAATGATTTTGAAGCAGATCATATGTTTTGGCCAAACAAGTACATTAATTTGCTTATCACTTAGTTGAAACTTTTTGAATCTTTCCTCTACTCGTTCAGGGAAGGGTACATATATATTTCTCTTCTTTCATTTTTCCGCAGCGTCTTGTATACAGGGTGGTCAAAAGAGTTGTTTACATTACATTTAAAAGTGAAATAAATAAAACAAGCTCATTAATTTCAACAAATTTAAAATTATATATGTATGTATGTATGTTGCTAGGCAACACTGTTAATGTCTAGAAGCAAAAGTCATGAAGAATGATGATGATGTAGTGTTTTTCCTGGTACTGGCTCTACTGACTACTTGAGTTTTTCATATTGGTGTTCAGAAACTGGACAAGCAGTAACAGTCAGACATAACCACGAATGATTTTGAAGCAAATCATATGTTTTGGCCAAACAAGTACATTAATTTGCTTATCCCTTAGTTGAAACTTTTTGTATCTTTCCTCTACTCGTTCAGGGGAGGGTATATATATATATTTCTCTTCTTTCATTTTTCCGCAGCGTCTTATATACAGGGTGGTCAAAAGAGTTGTTTACATTACATTTTAAAGTGAAATAAATAAAACAAGCTCATTAATTTCAACAAATTTAATTTCAAAATGTACGCACATTTTTAGAAATTCGTGTCCTGAAGAATACATTGTCTAAATGTGCTCCGTTTCTGGCCTGGAACTCCTGATTCGTTTTTGTGAATTCTACTTCTGATCAGTTCAAAATCTTGATGCACTTGTTTTCATTCTGAAATATGTAATTTCGTCGTCAATGTTACTTGAGTTACTTGTTACATTTTTGACACTCATTTCAGATTATTCATTTATGGACTACTTTATTATTTTTTATTCTTTGGTAAAGGTCAATATGAAGTTGAAGTTTGATGGATGCAGTAGGAAGTAGGAATATAATTATTTCATTGGAGTGCTGAAATTCTATACAGACATGAGTAGACGTTCATACAAGAATTTTGAAAGCAACTCAGGCAAGAATAAGTTTCGACCCTTTCCTGAAATGAAAAGTAACCCAAAGAAGTGTTGAAGTAGGTTGATGAAACTGTCTGGAAAAGAAAAAATCACAGTTGATACCATAAATGAAAACACTAACATATATGTAATGAGCAATTTTTTGGTAAAAAATAACAAGGCAAGAAAATCATTCAATATAGTCATTTTGGAATTTAGTGAACAAAATGCTACTTCGGACTGAACTAGAACTGAGAACGAGGCGCAGAAATAAATGATATCTTGGATTTTTGCTTGATTGAGGATCATAAAGATTAAAATACAAGAATATCATATAGTTCACACGCAGTGCACGAAATATGTATTTTGCACACTTTTAAGGCTCACACGGCTCACCTCAAATAAAATCGGGTTAATGTATCCAATAGGTGATACATATCACAAATATCGAAAAACAAGAATATTAAAATATCAAACTTTCATTCGAATAGGCACTAATAGTTTAGGGGTAGTGGATAGTGATTCAATATAAATGAACAATGAATCTAAAGACCTAATAAAAACTAATACGTTATATATTTTTTCTGAATTACTTCTATTAAAAATCTGAGTTGATTCCTACACCCAGATTTCATCACAATAAAGTCTTGTGTCATCGAACTTCCATAATATTGCTTCTCATTTTTTGGTGGGCAACTTCGAGTGAAGTCTTCCATTCAATAATTTTAATCAATGTTAGCATCTACTTGAGTACATACAGCTTTCAAAGCTTGGTATCTATGTATAGTAGGTACATTGTGAATTTCAATGAAAACAAAGAAAAGAAGGGAAAAAGAAATGTTAGCATAAATATCTATCATCCCATAAAACTGTAATTTTGTCAATACATATTGATCTTGATGTTGATACATTGGTACTCAGATTGATGGAGAAATAGTTGTAATTCGATCATCAGAATTATTTTGCATTTGAAAGAGAAATTGAAATATTATCTTTGATTATATGTAACTCATAGACTCTGTAGGTACATATACTATAACGTTCAGAAGCTGAGAAAACCTTTGACTGCTATTCTTCTGTAATCCACTTCGTAAGTCAGAGAAAAAACAAAACCATAGGTATTTATCTAAATGGGAAAACTAGAGACATGAAATTTTGGAGCATTCTTTTGATTTGATTTCGATTTATTTGGCACTGGTACACAATACGTATATGGCATTGTTATTATGTCTATCACAACACAAAATATTCACTGAAGGAGTGTATTGATCTACTGGTGGATAGCCGAGAAATTAATTCAATTTAAACGAACAAAACAAATCGGAACTAAATGACTGATCTCCGCGAACAACCGTAGTCGATCGCCTACCTTTAGTGACGTCAGATTATTCTTATTCTTAAATAATGCCTTCTGGTTTTTTCGAATTGACTCGGCCGTTACTTGATGGAAATCCATGGCAAATGTAAAAACTTCACAAACGATAAGATTTCCAAAAAATTTTCAAACACACGACATGTTTCGCTAGCACTGTAGCTTCGTCAAGTGATATACTGGTTATCGTTTGTGAAGTTTTTACATCCTTCTGTCTTTGTTGTTCCGGTGGTAACGTGTACAGTGCATCCCATTTTGGTCGAGACTGCCAGGTTTCTGAGTTGTTATTGAAGCCTTGCGGCTTTCACATTCTCGTCCTACTTTTTCGTGAAACGTATGATGGCTGTTTCCCGTTTATGAGATGGAGGGCAAGTTTAAAATTTCATACTTTTTGGACTCCTTCTATATCTCAGAAGTTTTAAAAAATAATGTTGCGCAGAGATCCATGTTTAACAGAGAATTTTGCGCAGATCCAGTGGCGCACTGAATTTTTTTTTTTCGGGGTTCGATTTTGGAGATACGAAACAGACCTATATAATATATTTAATGGAACACCCTGTATTCCACCATTTCGTTAAATTGGTCATTTTTTTTCTTCAAAATGATTTATAATTCTTCATGTATTGGATCTTCAGAAAAGCTAGGTTAGGTCCATGTGAGTGGGGCAAATACCGTCCCCATCTAGGTCTATTGTGGCTCATCCCTAGAGGTTACAGTTCACTGTACAATCCACATCTTTTTACTACAAAGTCCATGGTTGAATTGGGCGAGATTTGTCTGAAATCGATAGGTTCTAAATTGGTTAAGCCAAATATGTCGAACCTCAGTCTCATTAAGCAAGAGCATGAACACAGCAGAACCGACAGTCCGTTTGTTGGTTCAGACCCATCCTTCCCAGGTGGTATCTCAGACGACAGTGTCACGTAAGCAGTCCTGTCAGAATTCGCAGGTTACCCCTGCTCCATTCTAGGATCTGCCTGGTTTTATTTTTCGATGGTTTAAGCAGACACTCGAATGGGTTAATCCTGGTAATTCAGACCAGTACGTCAGTCTTTTTTCCTACGCCCAGTCCGAGATACTTGTTTTGACCGCACTTGCGGTGATCCCAGAGTATAGTTCTGGTCCTATGAGCAAAGATTCGGTTCCCTGTTTGGCGAGGATGTCGGCTTTCTCGTAGCCCTCCACCCCCTGATGTCCAGACACCCACAGCAAAGTAACTCTGATGCATGCACCCAGGCATTAAGGATTCAATACAGCTCAATACAAGCTTGGAATTTATCTTGCTGGAGCTCAGTGCTTCAAGAGCAGTCTGACTGATACAATACTGATGTTTTTGTTTACTAGAGGTCTATTCGTCAACTCTCTAGCACACAATTCAATTGCGAAGACCTCCGCCTGAAAGATTGTAGCATACTTACCGAGATTGACAGAGATTTCCGTCTTCGACTTTCTGTTGAACACACCTTCTCCAACTCCAAGAGGGGTTTTCGAACCATCTGTGTACATTACGTGTTCGGTCTCTGGGAATTGGACTGATCCACTAATCCACTCGTCTTTTTTCGGGAAGAGGACTTTGAAATACTTTCACGTGTGTCTTAGTAGTAGTAGTAGAAGTTATAATACTTCATAAAAATTATTATGTGTCAGTGGGCTGTGGATTTGTTATATGAATAAAGTATAAATTGAAGAATTCCAATTTGTGATATTTTCATAGAGATAGGGCAAACAAAAAGGATTGACACTATTCCACTTATGCAATTCATAAAATTTAGGTACATTATGAACAACAAATGAATAATAATACATAATTCACGATACATATAAGGAATAGAAGTATCTTATTATTATAATATAATATTGTAACACCACTTTCAGTATTGCAGTGAACAGAACGTTCTGTATCGGAAACGGAATTGATGAAAATCATTTGACAGCGCGGAAAGTGACAGTAGTGTTAATATAAGCATTATAATATAGTTGTTGTCTATATGTGTCTTGCGTGAAAGAGTTTCTTTCCTTTTCGCACCGAAGTAACCATTCGTTTGCGATATTCATCGAAAACCTAGTGGAACAATTCCTCAGAACCCGATGCATCACCAGCTCGCAACAATATAATACATCACACATAATATCCTGCAAGTTAAACTTGGAAAATCCATGGCGGAATTCCACTAGCCAAAATTCATCTTAATTTAACGTTTTAGTGTTTTTTTAGCATTTCTGGAAATTCTATGTATTGAGTATAATCCATCATATTGAAATAAAAAGAATAGCAAATTCAATGATATAATAAAATACAGGATATTCCAATGAAAATAAATATCAATTGTGTCTTATCTCCAAAACCAAACTGAATTCTACACATAATCATCTGCTACAAATAGTTCTTAGCGCAACATTATTAATTATAACTACGTAGATATAGAAGGGGACCAAAAAGTATACATTTTCAATATCGCCATGTATCTCATAAACGAAAACATTTATTCAAAATCTGATTAGGCCATCTTGCATATCACAAAAAAGTAAGACAGGAACGTGAGAACCGCAAGGCTATATCTTGAATAACAACCTAGGAACCTGGCATTCTCAACCAAAATGGGATGCACTGTAGTGTCAGTTTTTGCTTCCTTCATTCATTTTCTGTGGTTATAGGCAACTGTTACTGCTGTCAGATTGTTAGTATTCTATGTAATACAAAAACCAAAAACGTCAAAAAACGTCGCAACAATATAGATATTGTACTGGGTACTAACAATCGCATCAGCATTCCCATGATATTGATGCGTCATAAAATGATAGTACACTCCAGTTGAGAATAAAGCGTGTGGTGAGATAGGACTTCTTTGACCTCGCTTTTCATTGGTTTAAATTTTGAGTTTGATAATGAACAATGAGAGCGATTAGTTGACTGGTCGGATGTTTATTTACAGTCCAAAATAAAATCAAAGTTTGGAGTAATTATGACTATCAATGTTTCAAATGTGGCTCGTTGATTGAGCGGTATAACTGCTATTATTGTAGGATACGGATTCATTTCTCATTGCCATCCGGCTGCTTTCATAGTCTGCCGTTACCCGTCCTCTAACGCCATAAAACGACCAAGATACCATAATATCAATTTCGACCATATATGTTCATTATTATTTTGTTATTCATTCAAAAACTGGTGATTTCATCAATTATTCCATTTTGCAACACAAACTCTTAAATAAGTGATTAAACTATGAAATAGTGTGAAGCGGGTTCTCTCATCTTTGCCATCCACTTTTTTATATGAAATAAGGAATAAACTGTAGACTAGCTTTTCTGTATAGACAGTAAAGTTATGTGTGATGAGAACTTGATCGTTTTCTTTGAAAATGCATAGGAAATGTGCGTGTGTATGCGTAATGTCGATTTGACAACATCTATTAATTGGAGCCGTAATTTATATTTGATTTTTCAATACTGTACATACATCAATTGGAACCGTAATTTATATTTGATTTTTAAATATTCAGAAAATAGTCATTATAACACTTCCGAAAGAAATATACACAACAGTAAAAAAGTGATTTGAATAGGCTTATGTACTGGTATTTTTCATCCCATGTGTTTTTGTTCCAAATCATGTGCCAATGCGATATTCAAAATTAATTAAAATAACGGCCTGACTCAAACAAAGCATTCAGCTTCAGCCCTTCACTGTCGATTTCTATTACGTCGGTTGTTGGTGTTGCT